TAACATTTTCCATCAGGTGGGCCGTCAGCTTGTTTGCCATTCTAAGTTGTATAAAAAAATATATAATACACTCATCATTATAATCATTATATCAGCTATTTATTGTACTTTGTTAAATATAGATCTCCTTCTATTAAGAGATTTTACCAGTATGCCATATATTATTATTATGCCAGAATACGATAGAATAGAATAGGGCATAATATGATAGAATAGAATAGAACAAGACAGTGCAGGATAGGACAGAACAGAACAGAATAGATTTATTGGTCATAATTCATTTTGTCGTCCTCCGTGGCGCAGCGGTCAACACGCCTGCCTGCGACGTGGAGGCCCTGGGTTCGATCCCCGGCCAGGTCATGATGGAAAACGATCTTTTCCTGATAGGCCTGGGTCTTGGATGTTTATCTATATATGTATCTATTATAAATATAGTATCGTTGAGTTAGTATCCCATAACACAAGTCTCGAACTTACTTTGGGGCTAGCTCAATCTGTGTGATTTGTCCGTATATATTTATTTATTATTATTTATTAATTCAATTTTGCAAGAAGGAAGTACATAATTGTAATTACAAAAGGGTGAAAAATATCAAAGGGTCTCCATCTCAGCATTAAAATCACCAACAATGGCATTTACATTACTTGATCATTATTTTTTTTTTGTACAACTTAGAATGACAAACAAGCAGACGGCCCACCTGATGGAAAGTGGTAACCGTCGCCTATAGACACGAGCAGTACCATGGACATAACAGAGTATACTGTTTCGCCCATAATACCCCCATGCGTTGCCATTCCTGAGGACTCAGATGTTATTCCTCTGTAGCCTGTAAATTCACGCCATATCCCACCCTTCAAACCGAAACATAGCCATGCAAACACAGCTGATTCACGGTAGAAACACGAATTGGACTGAGGTTCCCAAGCAATCGACTTTTGTGCAAAGTCTCTCTGGTGCTGTGTATCCAATAAAAAAGCGTTTAACTATTAGGAAGCAATCGTGGTATTTAATACAATAATTATACAATTAATCGTCTGTTTTTACAACGTGGTAAAGAAAAAATACTCCTTTTTCTTAAGACAATGTATTTCATTTTATTTATTGGTCGCCGTGTGGTGACATAGAGTGAGGCGATTGAGGCATTTTAATGGTCAAGGAATGGACAGCAACGTCCCTGTTAAAACATCACCAAAAGCCAAACGGTTGCCAGTCTGCTTGCCAAGCGTGGCAACTACTGGCTAAATCTTCCCCCTTATGGGGTAGAGTTTGTTCAGCAGTGGACAGTTAACGCTGATACAATAAACAATTTTGAGTATTATAAAAAAGTAACAATAAAATTAATAGAGGTAACTATAAAAAATAACCGATACTCCTGACAATATAAAGTTACCAAAGTAAAGTAAAAATAGAATACTATTCAACGATGAAAAGCAACGATTTACCTGGTCCCCGAGGTCCCCTGGACCCATTCGAGGCATTCTAGGCACGTAATGTACAGGAATAAGAAATCCTAAATAAAGTGTTTATAATACTGATATTTAGCTCGCGTGTCACGTAATGCAAAAAAAAAAAATTTTGCCACGCGGTGTTAATTGTTAAAAATCATGTTTTCTCTTTTTATCTTTAGCTCTAATTGGCGGTTTTTTGAAGTAAATAAAGATTTTAGGATAAGACCGATTGATGCGTTATATTATTATGTGGATTTATTTATTAATTTATTTATTTCTTATTACATTCCGTAATATAATTAGTAGATAACATTTCAATTATTAATTTTTGATATTTGTTGTTGACGATTAAATGTCAAAATATATTTTCAAAAATTTTTTTTTTATAACACTGGGGGCAAATAGGCATGCGGCTCACCTGATAGTAAGTGACTACCGCATATTTTTAATGGATGATAATGGAATGGTAACCCCGCCTGCGCTATCGGTATACACTGGCGAGATACCAGTGAGGGATGATAGGTGAGGATGAAAAGACGACCTGTCTTTTCAGTTAGCCCATCGTGCTGAATTCCAAGTGCTGGTTTCCAGGAGGGACCATGTGGAGGTCGACCTGGTTGGGTACATTACTAGTAATGGGGTCCTTAGTTATTAACAATTCCGCCCCCCAAGTGACTAGCGCCACCCATGATCACGCGCTACACTAGAGGCATTGCAGGTGTACTGGTGGCCTTTTAAAAAGGAATATGCTCTTTTCTTGAAGTTTATGATGTATCAATTCGGATATACTGCTGTATCTAAATAATTTTTCCTTTTTTTTTAAACGCAAAATAATTATTATCAGATTCAAAAATATTTTACTGAACTAAGTGTTACCGTTTTTAACTTTTCTTTTTTTATTTTTAGATAGGGGTCCTTTTGATCTATAATCGAAGTCCTTTTTTACACAGCAAAATTTATTTCTCACTGGAATAGATTAATCTAGACAAAGCAGTGATACTTTACTAGGGTTTTATAAACACAAAATGAAACCAATTTAAATCTACGTGACTTTTATTCACAGATACTTTTTATCTATTGAAAATAACAATGCCCGGAATAGGAATGGTATTTTCACAATTCGCTGAATACAGTATGTTTTATACTTTATAATTCAGAACAAAGGGTTAGTTTTTGTTTGACTCTGCATACCTTTTTTTGTTGTAAAACATTAATATATTTCAGCGAGGTATTGGATTTTTCTTAATTCATTCATTGATAATAAACTTAATCTTTGAGTAAGTAAGTTTTCGTTGAAACTTGGTTTAATTGTGAGATTAAAGAAAATGTAAAAAAATATATATTAATAAACTAGCCGTTTCCCGCGGCGTTGCTCATTTCTATATATGAATCCGGACTTACAAGATATTAAAGTATATAATACAATATATTGCATTATATACTTCAATGATACCTAATCATCAATCAATACATATAATAAAATCTTAACTGATCACTGTCTGTACATGGAATATATATAAGAAAAACTTTTACAGGACAGTTTTATGAACGCAAAACAATGATTTTTGTAATTTTTGTCCATTTGTCGTACAGACAGTTTGTGCGCGCTAATCTCAGAAACGGTTTAATTGATTTGAACGCGGTTTTCACTAATACGTTGCCGTTTGCTCCACTTAACATCTAGTGTTTGTTTTAATTCAATCGATTGATAAATAAAAAAAGTTATGTCAATCTAAAGAATCACATATAAAATGCTATAAAATAACCGATCAGTTGAATTGGCTGAAACTTTACTAGTTTTTGCCCCACGGCTTTGTCCACATTGAAGTATCATCCTCTCGTTCATTATCTATTCTATGTTCATAGACCTCCCGCAAAGACCGTCATAAAGAACTATCCTGACCTACCTGCATCCATTAACTCTTAGCAATGCTTATTTGATTGCTCTGATTCACTGACTGATTGCTCTTAGCAATCTTGAGCTCGTCACTCTGTCTGGTGGAGGTTGTCCTACACTGCGTTTGCACACATGGAACTATACACTATATAGAATCTTTGTAAGGGCATCATATATTTTCTAAACATATTCTGTGTACGAATGCATTATATTGATCTTAAGTGAGTTTATATTCTGACTCGCACTTGGCTGATTTTCGAGAGGCGGCGACCGCAACCTTTTTTGAAACAAATATAAATATAATTAAAGACGTTTTGAAGTAACTGACCTAATAAAACCTAAAAATATTTCTTTTGTACATTTCGCTTGTCGAAATTAAATTCTCATCGATAATTACTATCAACGTATACTGGGTATAGAGGTATATAATGTAAATTTAATTTTATCCCATCCATATACGAGTACTAGTAATTAATTTTTTTTATTAAAAGTTTAATAAATACCATTTTTTTTTTATTACTATAGAATGTACATTCGTTTTGGCGCGCAATTACTATTGGTCATTCAGGTCCCATCATTTTAAACATAGAAAAACGTATGTATTAAATCTATGCAACCAATTCGTTTAATTTCAAAATTGTACACTATAAAATGACTAGGGTCACTTACGATACTTATCCGTATTGATATTTTAGATAAAGACATATTGTATGCTATATAAAATATGTGTTAAACACTATGAATGTTTTTTTATTTTATTGTGTTGATACTTCTAGGCGGTTGCATAGATTTACTTACAATTTCGTTAATATGAAAGTAGTGTCGACTCTTAAACGTAGTGATTAATTACTCTGTATTATTGATACAATGTGTTAACATCTGTATGTAATTTGTGTGATATGGCAAAATAACTTATATAGAAGTATTATATTATCTGTGGCATTATTATTACGGGAATTAAAATGTAAGTTAATAGTGGTTTTTCATAAACGCATTCTACTATTTAAAAATTAAGCTTATTTTCTCCCCTGTTTTTGGAGACGAATGTAGCCACTACCCGAGCAGGTGTTTCATAAAGTAAATTTTAACATACTTCATGTTGTGTATGGGGGGGGGGGGAAGACAGGGAAGGGATTAGCAATGGAGCAGCAAGTCCCGGTAAAATATTCTCTCAGGTCGCAATTCCCTTTGACAACCATCGCGGTTATTTCATAATCAATTTTTCACAATGGATCTACTTACATATAGGGTGGGGGGATAGTTACTAACGTGGACTACCAGTTCCATTGCTAGCAATATAGCCCCTTCCCCTGGAAATCATCTTGCTGAATTCTAGGTGTATTCATTACGATGGGCTAACTGACGCGTACATTGGTGGGGCACCAGTGAGTGATGATAGGTGGGGATGAAAAGAAAGGTCAGTTAGCCTATCGTGACGAATATATTTGGAATTCAGCACGATTGTATCCAGGGGAGACCACGTGGAGGTCGACCTGATAGATACCCTATTTTTCAAGCAATGCGACTGGTAGTCCGCATTACTAACAAACCCTTTCCCCCGCGTAGGCGGGGTTACCATTCCATTAGGAAATACAACAATGATTATCGTTATAAATATCCCATAAAAATGTATATTGTGTTATTGTTGCAGGTGAGACCGCTACGGAGAGGCGCGGCGTGGCGGCAGATTGATGGCGCGGTGACGCAGCATGCGCCACGTGCCGCTCGCCGCGCTACTGCGGCTGTTGTTACTAGCAGGTAGGTCCACAGCAGCTTCTACGTGTTGATTTTTTTTTACAACACAGGGGGCAAACGAGCATGCGGCTCACTTGATGGTAAGTGACTACCACCGCCCATGATCACCCACAACATCAACAGCATTGCAGGTGTGCTGCCGGCCTTTTAAAAAGGAATATACTCTTTTCTTGAAAGTTATGTTGTCGTATCGGTTCGGAAATACTGCTGCTGGAAGTTGATTCTAATGAGTGGTTGTGCGTGGAAGAAAGATGTCTTTGACCTTGACCTTTGCCATAACCTTGACCTTGACTGTAATTGTGACATTGATAACGTAACTGTGACCTCGACTTTGTCCACGAACTTGGCCATAACCTTGACTATGACCATGGCATTGACCTTGACATTTATTTGTTATTTGTGTTATAGACACAATATGTGAAACAGGAATTTTACGAATTTACTATGTCGTTTCCAACAATTGTTTCTACTCCATTCGCATCCGGAAGTCTTCTTCGGAGCGAGTAATGGTGCTTACGTCGCAGCGTCTCGTCTCGCACTGCAGTAACTGCAGAAAAGAGGCGACTAAGGAAATCGAATGGTCGAGGGATAGGCAGCAGCGTCCCTCTTAAAACATCACCAAAGCCTAAGCCTAATTGCGGTTGCTAATCCGTTTACCGGGCGTAGCAACTACTGTCAAAACCTCTCAAGAAGGAATTCTATATTATGCAGTGTATAGTTATCGACTGATATCATCAGACACTTAAAGTTACAGGAGTACCCGTAAAAAAACCAATAAAATAAGAACCATTTTTGAGTTGTTTAAATGAAATATGGCCAGTATTCCTAAATCAAACTCAGATATTTTGTCTTGGTAACTTGAAATCTATGACTGGAACAAAATAATAGAACAATAATTTCGGACTGCCATCTTATTATTTATTGGAATATTAACGGCAAAACATTTAATTTATGTAAACGTTATAACACGAGGCGGCCATTACGATGGGATCTTCTCGCTTTTCAAGATTGTTCAGTGAATTGAGGAAATTTAGAATTAAAGGTTTAGACCGTAGAGATCAAACTGTATTGGTGGCTCTGAACCGCAGTAGACACATCAATTATGACTGTTTTATTCAGAAAATGTTCTTGCTTCATTTGTTCTCTCAAATTAGATTTGGTAAACCATTTATTCTCAGTCATAAAAATCATAGTTCAAGGTTGGGATTATGTAAAAAAAATATGATTTTTATTTTAAAGGTAAGATAAATTATGTTGTTTATCTAAAATACAGTCTTTTAAAGGTTCCCAATTCAGGTATATATTTTTTTTTGTTACTGTTATTTGCCATTAGTCCCGGAATAGAATAGGCTACTCCTCCCTTTCCCGTGGGTATTGTAAGAGGCGACTAAGGAAAGGCGAGGGATAGGCTGCATCGTCCGTCTTATAACATCTCCAAAGCCTAACTACGGTTGCCAATCCTCCTGCAGACGTGGCAACTACTACCAAAACCGCCCAAAGGGGAGGCTTATGTTCAGCAGTGGACAGTTAAAGGCTGATAGATGATGAACCAATTTGGAAAATTCTTTATTTTATTTGAAAGGGTATACGAATGTAAGTATAAAATATAATATAAGAAAGATTGGTACCATAAAAAATTTTATCATTATCGCCTCAGTAGTCTAATTATTAAATCAAAACAACTGATTTTGCCAGGGGGGAAAGGGATTGTTAGTAATGGAGACTGAGAATCCCATTACTAGCAATATACCCAACCAGGTCGACCTCCTTGCGGTTTCCCCTGGAAAATATCATGGTTAATTCCTAAGGAATTCATCATGATGGGCTTACGGACCTGTTTACATTCTCATCAATCACCCTTCACAGGTACTCCGCCAGCGTATTCCGTTAGCGCAGGCGGGGTTACCATTTCACTTTCACCCATCAAAAAAAAACTGATTTTGCCACAACTGAAGTCGGTTTTTGGTGGAACGTAGTATGAAATTATATTCCCGTATTATCTTAAAGGTTACATAAATTCCATAAGGTGGACCGTCAGCTTGCATTTCTAAGTTGTATAAAAAAAAAGGTTTGGCGTGCTTTTTGTCCGTGAACTTAGAATACGTAGAAGAACTTAGAATACGTTACAATACACACTCGTACGTATTTTGAAAGAATACGCTTAATAAATTTTGTCTTATGCGGACAGAAAGTCCCTCCTTCATAGGCCTAAGAATTTTTATGTTTACATTTCCTAATCTCGAGGTTTACGAAAATTTTTCATCACGATCACAAGTTCGCCACAAATTGATATAACAAAGTCTCCTGGGAAATATAGCTTTCATAGAGGCTTATTCAAAATTATGTTGATGCATACTCCAGTTAAAATGATGCTGTAAACAATACCTGGATTACATATGAGACTAGATGTGCAAATTTTACGAAGTTTCTTATGTTATACATATGTATTTACGACTGGTTTTTGCCTACGGTTTCGTCTTTGTAACCAGGATGAAGTAATTCATCGTATTAGTGAAATTTAGGCCTTTCACATAAATGGGGAAGGGGGAGGTTTGCTTGTAGTTGTCACGCTTGGCAGACGGGTTGGCAACACACATTTAGCCTTTGTTGGTTTTCTATACTGCTTTCCGTCCCTTGAACATTAAATTACCTCTTGCGACACCCACGAGAAACGAATGGGTGGTCTATTTTATGCCAAACCATATCTAATGTAGATATAAATATTATATGGGACTAAACGTATAAAAAGTTAGTAAAATGCCATCAATTCTTTTCATTTCCAGAATTTCTAATATGCGACTATAGAAATCCTGTATCATCATCGTTGAACTGGCCACTGCCGAATATGAACCTCCCTCTTAGGGGATTTTGCCAGTGCATGCCATGCGTGGTTTAGAAAACCGATAAAGTGCTTTACTTTACTGGTTTTCTAAACCACGCATTTAACTATACACTAAGTATGAATAAGGAGGCAAAACTCTAATGTTACAATAAAAATTTTAAAATTTATATATTAATTTCATATTTTTTTTTATGCAACTAAGAAAGGCAAACCAGCTGACGACCCACCTGATAGAAAGTGGTAACCGTCGCCTATAGACATAAACAGTGCCATGAACATAACAGAGTATACTGTTTCGTCCATGATACCCCCCATGCGTTGCCATTCCTGAGGATGGTGTTATTCCTCTGTACCCTGTAAATTCATAGTCACAACTGCTTAAAATACGATCATTGTTTTTATACCGTTTATATCAAAGCACCGTACGCCCCCTGAAGAAGTCTTCCGGATGATATCGAAATAATAATAGTAAATGCTATGCAGATCAGTTATAAGAGAGCAAATTTGATGTTCTTTTATTTAATATTTAATGTTTTGATTTGTAATCTGTTGCTTGCTATAACTAAATAATTTAACTGATGTAGACTTTGTACAAAATTCGTTTGCTTGGTCACCTCTGTCCTATTCGTGTTTCAACCGTGAAGCAGTTATGTTTGCATGGCTGTGTTTCGGTTTGAAGGGTGGGATATGGCAGTGAATTCACATGGTACAGAGAAATAACACCCGAGTCCTCAGGAATGGTAACGCATTGGAGATACCATGGGCAAAACAGTATACTCTGTTATGTCCATGGTACTGCTCGTGTCTATAGGCGACGATTACCACTTTCCATCGGATGGGTCGTCAGCTTGTTTGCCATTCTAAGTTGCATACAAAAAAAAAGAAAGTTAAGAACATAATAGAATATGGTTGAGAACAACTTATTATCGATATTATAGTATGTGATATATTAATAAAATATTTTATGTGGATTTAAATTAATAGAACACCTAAAAGGAACAAATGAGAATGTTCGAACAATGAACTCTTTATGCTCTTAATTTCAAATTGTAACCAACTCTGTTAGACAGGGAGTTGAGGCAAACTTTTTAAAAGTTGCATGTGAATATAGTGAGAATTGTTACTTGTGGAGAGGCGAAAAAACTTATATAGAGAGACGATGTGCCAACAAAGTTTGTACTGAAATAGATGGGAGCCGTCGCGCCATGAATATTCAATGTTGAATATACAGTTTCAGTGTTTCCAGTCAAGGGATGATATGTGAAGGCTTTACCAATTTATAACGGTTGCCAGCACAAAAAAAAAAGCATTAGTCGAGTGGTCTCGGCATTCCTTTCCCATGGGTGTCGTAAGAGGTGGATAATGAAATTTAAATATTGAATAATGGGCGGCAGTGTTCCTCTTAAAACACCATCGGAGCTTAACTGCGGTTGCAACCCTGCCTGGTGTGGTAACTATTGTCAAAATTAAACAAATGTGTAAGAGGGACGTTGCTGCCCATCCCTCCACCATAATCTCCTTTAGTCACCTCTTACGACGGCCACGGGAAAGGAAAGGGTGGCCTATTCTATGCAGAAACCTACACGGCTAAAGCACTAGCATTATAGGTCCCATGCATTTAATAATGTCAAAAAATCTGTTATAAATGGGTACAGTTTCAGTGTTTTTTTTATTATGCAACTTAGAATGGCAAACAAGCTGACGACCCACCTGATGGAAAGTGGCAACCGTCGGCTATAAACATGAGCCATACCGTGGACATAACAGAGTATACTGTTTCGCCCATGATACCTCCCAGGCGTTGCCATTTCTGAGGACTCAGGTGTTATTCCCCTGCACCCTGTAAATTCACTGCCATATCCCACTTTTCCATAAACCGAACACAGCCACGTAAACACAAATGCTTCGCGGTAGTAAACACGAATGTGACAGAGGTATCCAAGCAAACGTCTTTTGTACAGTCTCCCTCTTTCTTTCCAGTTAAGAGATGACATGTGAAGGCCTTACCAATTTATTATGGTCGCGTGCACAAAAAATCATAAGCTATTTCTAGACTCAGAGAATTATTAATGATCTACTTTCTAATCGCATTTTTTGATCTGCGTGACGGAGATATGTTCTAAGCGGGACGACAAGGAGCCTATATCCTTCTGCCTTCTATATAGTACATGTATTAATTTTCATAGCGATTTTTAAATAGTTAACAAACAACTAAGAATAGAAATAATAAGAATTATTTATTTAAACTTTATTTCACAGCCAAATTCTATGTACATTTGGCGGACTTAACACCGGACGGTGTTCTCTACCAGTCAACCATTGGGCGAACCGAGCAATACGTAGGCGGTGCATTATTGAATAGGAGGCATTATATGTAATCCATAGATTTTTTTAGTGAATGATATTGGAATGGTAAGTGGGGTTACCATTCCATTATCATTGATTGAGAAAAATCTTTGGATTACATATAATAACGGTATAATACGCTGGCGGGGCACCAGTGGGGGATGATAGGTGAATGAAAAGGTAGGTCAGTTAGCCCATCTTGATGAATACACTTGGAATTCAGCACGATAGTTTCCAGCGGGAACACGTGGAAGTCGACATGATAGGAGATATTGCTAGCAACGAGACTAGTAGTCCGCATTACTAACAATCCCTTCTCCCCGAATGCACAGATTTGTAAGACTAGATTTATGAATGAATAAATGAATAAAATTTTATTTACTAAATATTGGTGATTGCCAGTAGCAGATCTTACAATTAATTACAATTGTTCAGCAATATTTCCCATTACATAGGTGTGTAAATGTTTTTTTTTTACAATTGCTAAAATAATAGTCATAATAACATTAACAAAATTGATTACATTAAATTACAATTATGAATAATAAATCATGTTATGTTTTTACAGTGTTGAGCAGAAATCATAAAAAACAATTATTTAAAAAGTCTTTTACAGAATAGAAACAATTATTAATTAGATAGTCGAATAGTTTTCTTTTAAATTGTGTGTCGGTCAAACTTTTAATCCACTGTTAGTAAATTGTTTAAGAAACATGCAGTGCTTGCATTTCTTAAATTAAACTTTATTATGCCTAATTAGCGTACAGCTCATTTAAAGACGAAGGAAGTAAAAGCAACTTCAGTGCCTCAGAATGACCTGCAAAAGTTGTCTGAAAAAGTTTCTCTAGAGTCTTTTGTTTTAAAGAAATCTGAGATTTTTTAAAAGAAAGTTGTAAATTTGGATATACATATCTATAAATGAGTACTTAGCGCATTGAAATTTTTTTGATATTTCGATGTGGATTGCACCACGTATTTAAATATGTGTAAACAAGATGAAAGTTTAAAATTAAATATTTGTTATATAACTTAGAATAGAAAAACAGGCTGTCGGCCTACCTGATGGAAACTGGTAACCGTCGCCTAGAGACATGAGCAGTACCATGGACGACAGAGTATACAGTTTCGCCAATAACACTTCCTTATGCGTTGCCATTCCTTAGGACTCAGGTGTTATTCCTCTGTACCCTGTAAATTCACTGCCATATCCCACCCTTCAAACCGAACACAGCCATGCAAACACAACTTCTTCGGTATAAACACTAATAGGTGCCCAAGCAAACGACTTTGGTACAAAGTCTCACTTCGGCAAACTATCATAATACATGTACTATCTATAAATGATATTTAGAATCTGTTTTCTTATAGATATTGCACTGGTAGATAACGTCATATTATGCCAAAATCCGCCATTTACAATTTCTAGATGTATTAATTATTTATAAATAAATAAATAGGAAAAAATATTTTACAACTACAAAAAAGTAAAATTTCCAATCGACTCCAAAAAGAAATAGATTCTCAATTCGTTTGTATTCTTTTATGTTTGTTACCTCATATTTCCAACAGTTATTATACGATTTGAAAAATTATTTTTTATCTGAAAAGACACTTACAAATTGGTTGCGGAGAAATATTATGAATACCAGAGGGAGACTTTGTTCAAAAGTCGATTGCTTGGGTACCTCTGTCCCATTCGTGTTTCAACCGTGAAGCAGTTGTGTTTGCATGGCTGTGTTTCGGTTTGAAGGGTGGGATATGGCGTGAATTTACTGGGTACAGAGGAATAACACCTGAGTCCTCAGTAATGGCAACGCATGGGGGGTATCATGGGCGAAACAGTATACTCTGTTATGTCCATGGTACTGCTCATGTCTATAGGCGACGGTCACCACATTCCATCAGGTGGGCCATCAGCTTGTTTGCCATTCTAAGTTGTATAAAAAAAAATCAGTTCAATTGTTAAGTTTTTAATTCGATATAACTAATTTTGTCACAAGAACATTTTATTAAAATCGACTCAGCAGTATAGTTTTTAAATCCAGTTTTGTCAAAGCTCATGTCGGTTTTTATTCCTGGAGCACAATCTTAAGTTATTTCTGATTTAATATTGACAGACTAGGAATATCATCATAAAAATGCTTTTCAATCGATTTCACTAAAACTAGCGAGCTACCCCGACCTCGCACGGGTGCAATATTTGTTTGTGTAACTTTTAAACTGTCAGAATAACTGTGGAACACAATCTTCATGTTGATTTTTAATACTCTGTAAGCCAGTAGCAAAACTTTGGCTACAGACGTTTCAAGCAACTTAATTGTGAGAAAGTTTACAACTAGAAAGTTTAGTTGCCTAAGTATATTAAGTACTTTCCGAAGCAGAAAGATTCAACGTTTTATTTGATCTTTAACAAAGATGTAGGAAGTTTAAATAGTATGCGCTAATTTACTGCAAGAGAAGTACGCTAATGTCTCGTCCAATGTAAATTTTTGTTCTTATATTCTTATCTATGACTTTCTTATTATATTTCAATTTTTTTTTTAATTTGACTATTATATTTATATATACTTAATACTTATAATTATTTTCCTTTATGTTTTATTCTGTTAATTTTCTTAATTATACAATACCTAATTGTACAACAATTAGTCCATTACCGTAAGGTTGTCTTGAAAAGATTGCTGTCAGCAATAAGACCGCCTTACTGTACTTGTACAATTGTATCGTTGTGTTTGTAAATTGTCTTGCTTATTTCCTATATTGTATAATGCAAATAAAGTATACTTATTCATTCATTCATTCTCACAACTCAGATTACGTGTATTTTTCCACAACTAATTAATTACAACGTAATTTTAAAATATTTGTAGTCCAGTATTATCCAATTCCTTAAAATTGTTTACGTCATTTCATATTGTATAATTTTGTTTAAGCAAATGCTTAAGCAAAATTTGGCATTTTTATATGCAACTTAGAATGGCAAACAAGCTAACGGCCCACCTGATGGAACATGGTAACCGTCTATAGACATGAGTAGTATCATGGAGATAGAGATAGATATCATGGAGTAGTATAATAGAGTATACTGTTTCGCCCATGACACCCCCCATGCGTAATTGTGGCAGGCATGTGCATTAATATCGTATTGTATTTAATGTTTAATATATATGTATGTTATAATGCAATATGTTATAGGTATTCCTATAGATAAATAAAAAATATATATAGCTTCTAAATTCTTCTTCTTCTCTTAGCGTCTTAATTGTTATGTTGGTATATTATATTTTTACTATATGGGATAGAGAAATATTATATATATATATATATATATATATATATATATATATATATATATATATATTTTACTAGAAAATGTATGTAATATTCCTGTCACGAAGAAGTCGCAGGCAAAAGTCAATACTGATGTAAATTAAAAGGTGCTTATCCATAATACAGCACATTATGTATGCTCGTTTGATAATAATATGGCAATGTATGAGTATTCTATAATATTTATGGTGTATGTTCATGTCCTATTGGCGATGGTTACCACTTTCTATCAAGTTTGCTATCAGTTTGCTCGTTATTCTAAGTTGCAAAAAAAATCTTTGTTTTTTTTTTAATACTACTGAGGTGGCAAACAAGCATACGGCCCACCTTATGGCAAGTGGTTACCATAACCTATGAACGCCAGCAATACCAGGGAGATTGTTGCGAGATTCTCAATGGGACAGAGACCATATTGTTGTATGAACCATTAACTGTCCACTGCTGAACACATCCTCCCCCATAAGGCGCGTTGGCAATCGCAGTTTGAGTTTTGGTGTTGTAATAATAATAATATATTTCAAAATAAATGTTTTAAATATAGGTAAAACCCTGCTCCCTAAATAGGTAAATCCTGTACTTTAGGATAAGCAGTGCTCTTCCCTATACGACATAATGCCACAAAATGTATATAAAAAAGAAACAGTAAAACTTAAGGTACTAAAACAATAATAATTTAATCTGTCCAAATAATATTTTGTAAGTGAATCTTGACTGTCTAATTTGTGAGTGTATGGAATGAATGAGTTATTGTAAAATGGCAGTCATAACCTAAGATACTACTAATAATAAATCTTCAGTTTCATCATATGTCTTACTTAATAGCCAATCACTAACAATTCTTTTAATTAAGAGGAACGCTGCTGCCTATCCCTCCAACATAAATTCTTTAGTCGCTTCTTACTACACCCATGGAAAAAGAAGGGATGGCCTATTCTAAGTCGGAACCAACACGGCTCTGATAATATGTTAAGCATATTTTTTTTTTTGTTATCAGGTGGCGCGAACTTTGCCAATCCGTACACGAGTGACGCTGTCGACCTAAATCAAGTATGGGTGGACATCCCCGTATCGCTTGTCGCGCTCGGGGGCGACGTGCGTATTCACGTCCACGGCGTCTCCGCCACTTCCACGTTAAGGGTCCAGCTCGCGCGAGAAGACGACGACGGGAAAGCCCAACTCGCTGCCCTGCCGCTCTCACTGGACTCAGAGAGCCGCATGACCCTCCCTTGCGGCTACTTCTCTAGAGGAGGCACTTACTACCTAGAAATAATATCCGACGCCAAAGAAAACTTCATAGACGACTACGAATCAGTTAATTCTAGTGGTAGTTTTCGAGTCAAGAGGGACGCTGATGGTAGCATAGTGGAAACCGGTGATAGTGTAGTGAAATCGTGGAAGTTTGATGTGTTGTGGCCTTCGGCCAAGTTGGACGTGACCCCGGAACAGATACAGACGTATCCTGAGAGGCAGGTGACAGCTATTTTGGAGTTCCCGAGGGTTGTGTGTACTCCTGTGGAGTCTAGTGCTGATTTTTGGTTGGAACTCTTGTACTGCGGACATTCAAGTGGCGGTGCTGTGTTGTGTGATGGAAAGAACACGAGCTCACACGCCCATGTCTTATATTCTGAACAGGTTAGTATTTTGTTCTTATTTCACTTCTTATTTTACTAATATAATAAAATTATAACTATCTGTACATGGTAGATATTTAAAAAACTGAGGGTTTCTATAACACTATGGATGCCAACACCATAATTTTTAGTAATTTTGTCTGTCTGTCTATCTGCATGTTTGTTTTGGTATTACGCAAAAAACTACTGCATCAAATTAGATACAGTTTTACAGTTGTATTTCTGAAGGTCTAACTCAATATCCGGTGTATGTTTTATCAGGAGAATCATCGTCATCGTCAGGGGAAAGGGATTGTTTCGTAATGGGATCTAACGATCCAGTTACTAGTACTGTACCCTAACAGGTCGTCACCAACGCGGTTTCTCCTGAAAACTGTCGTGGTTAATTCATGTGGAATTCGTCACGTTTGGCTAACTGACTTGCTTCGTCCTCACCTGTTGTCTCGCACTGGTGCCTCGCCAGTGTATATCGATAGCGCGGCTGGAGTTACCATTACATTTTAACCAACTAAAAAAAGAAAGAACAGCATTCAGCTAATTGCGAGATTACTTCCAGATGCACGGCTTCCCAGGCCGCAGGACTATGACCCTCCGTTGTGAGCTATTCGGTCAGGCCGGGGACTACGCACTGACGTTGAGGCCTGCCGCTGCCGCTGGCCCTCAAGACTTGGCTGCTGCTTTTATTAAGGTATGAGAATAATTATTTTCTTATATTGTTTCTTACATAATAATAATAATAAATAAATAAATAATAATAAATAAATATATACGGACAAATCACACAGATTGAGCTAGCCCCAAAGTAAGTTCGAGACTTGTGTTATGGGATACTAACTCAACGATACTATATTTATAATAGATACATATATAGATAAACATCCAAGACCCAGGACAATCAGGAAAAGATCGTTTTCCATCATGACCTGGCCGGGGATCGAACCCGGGGCCTCCACGTCGCAGGCAGGCGTGTTGACCGCTGCGCCACGGAGGACGCAATAAAAACAATAAGAACAATAAAAACAATAAGAATGGCTGTGTGGTCCTGAAATTGAATAGGCCACCCCTTCCTTTCCCGTGGGTGTCGTAAGAGCTGACTAAGGGAGGGCGAGCATTTGTAAAGTCACCTGCGGGTACCAATCCGCTTGCCAAGTGTGGCAACCGCTGGTAAAAGGCCCCCAAAGGGAATGTTTATGTCCAGTAGTGAACAATTAAGGGCTGATATGATGATGACGAATGGGAATTTAAAAAACTTATTTTATTTATTACGAAAGAAGATTTATCTAGATTTAGATAAATGGTTGAGGGCTAATAAAAGGTTGTGGAACATTAAAAATACTAGTCTTGGAGCAGTGACCTACGGGTATTAATTTGTCTGACAATTCCTCGATTAGAGATGAAATACGTGTTTCAATATATGCATGGACTGGACGACGGTCGGAGATTGATGACTCATATGGAAAGTCATAGAATTTATATTGAAAGTAATACTAGCCAATTTTCAATTGTTGGCAGTCACCGATATACTAACGGTAGCGGAATTAAACAAAATGATTCTAATCAAATGACCAGTAATACCGATTTCTGCAAGATAACACCTTAGTTAGGGGGGAAAGGGATTGTTAGTAATGGAGACTGAGAATCCCATTGCTAGCAATATACCCAACCAGGTCGACCTCCTCGCGGTTCTCCCTGGAAACTATCATGGTTAATTCCTGATGAATTCATCATGATGGGCTAACTGGCCTGTTTTCATTCTCATCTATCACTCTTCACTGGTGCTCCGCCAGCGTATCCCGTTAGCGCAGGCGGGGTTACCATACCATTTTCACCCATAAAAAAAACACCTTAGTTAAGTAAAAAAATCTTTTTACATGGGACATAGCACTTTGGTATTCAGGGATGGCAACACATGAGAAGTACTATAGAAGTCAAAGTGTATTCTTTGAAGCCTATGGTGTTCATATTTATAAGTGGCAGTTATCAATCTCCATTAGATGGTACATTAGTTTCATTGCAATTCGAAAGGTTTAAAAAAAGAATGTTCATAACCGATTATCGAAAAAGGTCCGACCGCTGAAAATTTCCCGCCTCCACTTCATAAAGGGTCACCGCGTATAAAATGCTCAATAAATATTTAGTTTGGCGCAGGTTGGCCCATATTTTATTCGACGCCACTTCACCCCGTATTTGGGCCGAAAATATTTATGGGCAGTGTATTTAATTCGTACAAAAACTCCTTGGCCTGTAAAAGGTATTCTAGTTTATTGAGATTCATTGCTTTTAGCGATGAATACGCGAATATTTTATGGGGCTTTTTTCCGTTGAATGCCCTGTTTGTTACACCATAAACGATTTTTATGTTTATTACAAATAAATGTTGGATTTGTTTTTTTTTTATCTACATTTATAGTGTTTTATTTGAGTTAAAATACTGACAAGCGGTTTTATTAAAAACGTTTTTAATTTACTAATAGTCAGTGGTGATTGGATTTTGTTGTGAATGCGACATCTATTTGAGAAATGTCAATGTTCTTATTTTTACAATTATCATTCAACTCGACACGAGATGTTAGAAGAATATAATTTCGATTGTTAGTAATGTGGACATTTATCCACTTTGCTAGCAATATACCTTGTCAGGTCGAACTCCAATTTCCAGGGGAACACCCCCTGGAAATTATGGGGAACCGCGATTTATGATGTATGTACATACGATTACTTAAAAAGTAATCATGTAATAAATCACGGTGAATAAACCATAATTTATTCTTCTTGAGTCTGTCATAATGGGCTAACTAAACTGGGTCTCTAGACAAGTGGCAAGCAAATACGTCAATGGAATCGACATCGCTAGCGAGTCCGTAAGTTGGAATGAGTCATCTAGCGTTGTTATCTCATTCTGTCTCACGGACTCGCTAGCGATGTCGATTCCATCGACGAATTCGTTTGCCATTTGATTACAGGCCCTGGTTTCATCTTCACCTATACCCACTGGTGCCTCACCAGCGTATACCGATAGCGCTGGCGGTATTACCATTCCATTGTCATCCATTAAAACTATTTGTAACCATACTATACCGGGGGGAAAGGGATTGTTAGTAATGGAGACTGAGAATCCCATTGCTAGCAATATATCCAACGAGGTCGACCTCCTCGCGGTTCTCCCTGGAAACTATCATAGTTAATTCCTGATGAATTCATCATGATGGGCTAACTGGCCTGTTTTCATTCTCATCTATCACCCTTCACTGCTGCTTCGCCAGCGTATCCCGTTAGCGCAGGCAGGGTTACTATACCATTTTCACCCATCAAAAAAAAAAAAACATACTGTACCATATCAGCTGTTAATTTTCCACTACTGAGTATTGGTGGGGATTTACCAGTAGTGGCCACACTTGGCAGACAGGTTGGCAACCACAGTTAGATTTTGTAAATATTTTAAAAGGGACGCTGCTACACAGACCTCGTCTATTAAGTTCCCTTAGTCGCCTTTTAGAACACTGACTGGAAAGGAAGGGATGTCCTATTCTATGCCAGGACCACACGGCAAAATATAAAATAGTTTAACTTAATTTACAACTAATAATAATGATAATAATTTATTTACAATATTTCAGCAATATTTACCATTTCGTTGTGTAAATGTTTTTTTACAATTACAAAAATAATAGTCATAATAACAACAAAATCAATTACTTCAAATTACAATCACGAATAATAAGTCAATGTTACAATGCCTTTACAGTATCAAGTATCACAAATTACATCCATTCAAAATGGCTTTTAACATATCTATAATTAAACCAGATCCTTTACTAAATACTACAATACGAGTACACACTTATTCAACTATATAATATAAACAAAGTAACTAACATTCAAAACTTGAATAATTAACAAACAATGTAAGCTTTATATTTTTTAACTGCAGTAAAAATTTACTCAATTCCCGTCTTATTTTCTTCGAGATCCGCTCAAAACTCTTCAAGTTATTATCATTACGTTTTACGCGGCTATTATTTAACTTTGTGGCCGAACAATCTGTATAAAAGTTTATTTGTAATAAATGAGCACTAGACTTGGGGTTGGTTTATTTTTTTTTTTTTCTCCTTTACAATACTTATTTTTATTACGCAAACATCAACAACAATAAAACAACAATGGGCTCGCGTAACTGCTATAAGTTTTATGCGAGTTATTAACAATTTTTATGGTTTTAGTAACGAAAATGTACAATGGAATACTTACGGTGCGACGTTGTCTGCCTGTCCATCAGTATGCCACAGCGCTATATTTTAGCAACTAATAATGCTATTGATTAAAAATTTGGAAAAGTCTTACATACTGTTGGCTCGTATATATTGCAATTAAAATATTTCAAAACATATTTTTATTTGCTAGGGTAACCAAAAAGAGGAACTAAAACTTCAAAATAGAGTATTAGTCCAAGTGGAGTATCATATGAAAGAGCTACATTTGTACTAAACTAATTTTTATTCATTTTTACAATACCTAGTTTTATTTTCTTATGCAATTTAGAATGGCAAACAAGCTGATTACCCACATGATGGAAAATAGTAGCCGTCGCCTATAGACATGAGCAGTACCATGCACATAACAGAGTATACTGCTTCGTCCATGATACTTCCCATGCGTTTCCATTCCTGAGGACTCAGGTGTTATTCCTCTGTACCCTGTAAATTCAATGCCATATCCCACCCTTCAAACGGAAACTAGTTTTTTGATTTATGATCGAAAATGTGAGAAAAAAACCATTCTCTCTTTATCTCCATGTTGAAGTTTGTGAAGCAAAAAATTTAAAATAATTACAGTTTCTAAAGGTATACATGAATATTACAGGAACAATAAAACAATATTTTTAACTGGCACCGTTTTGAATAAATATAAAAAAAACACACTTTATTATGTGCTCTAGTTTTTTACTAAAGTTATGGCCCAGAATAAGGACGACTTGAAATATCAACAATAACAACTATTAGGCATCGAGCAATGTGTCGCTAGTCGCCATTACTGGCAATACCTTGTTTCACCTCTTCAGTAACACAAGAGATACCTAAATACATATCCTAATACTTTTTGTTCTAGTACAATAAATTTATTTTATTTACTACTTAATTTTCTGCTTGCCTCATAATTGACTGGTAGAGAACGCCATTAGGTGTCAAGTCCGCCATATGTACATTTACTTATATAAATGTGCATTGAAGTTGAAAAAAATAAAGATAAATAAATAAAAGTTTATAAAAAACCCTGCCGAGGAAAACCTCGGCAAAACCTAGGAAAACCTAATAGACTACAGCATAGGGTGCTTTAGAAGGGGGGTAAAGAGGTTTCTTCAGGGTCGGCAACGCGTACGTAATGCCCCTGGTATTGCAGGCGTTCATAGGCTACGGAAACGCCTTACCATCAAGTGGGCCGTATGCTTGTTTGCCACCTCAGTGGTATAAAAAAAAACTATAATAATTTCCTTGCAGGCCGATTGGTCAGAGCAATTTGTTCTGAACGTCCACGGCGGTTCAGTGCTGCCGTGCGGTGATGGGGTACGGGTTCTGTTCCAATACCCGGAGTGCGTGCTCGACGGCGCCGACAGAGTCAGGGTGTTCGGCCGTGATTCGGACAGGCTTCGGTATGTCGCCGAACGACGGGTCAGAAGGTAAGGTTAAACTTTACAAATTTTACTGTTTTTTAAAAACTAAATATAAACCTTCCATTCCTATAATAATACTCTAATATTCTTTTATATTTATGTATTGTATACATTGTTTATTTTGTATACATTATTATTTGTTATTTTCTTTACCTATCCCAATAATTAAAAAGGAAAGGAAGTCCTGAAAACGGTAAATGAAAAATTTAAATTAATTAAAACAATAGAGAATAGAAGAGGCAAAATGCTGGCCCACCTTATACGACATGACGATTTTTAAAGAGAAAAGAAGAAGGAAAAATAGAGGGCAAAAGAGGAAGAGGAAGACCGAGGAAAAACTACATGGGACAGATAAATGAAACACTAGGTGTCATGTCGTTTAGGGAGGACAAGGATATGGCCTGGGATAGAGCTGGCTGGAAGAGAATGCATGAATTAGTTGCACCGATAGGAGGAAACTCTTAAATGAAAAGAAGATCCCAATAACGAAGTACTGGTAGAGAATACTACTAATATTAAGTCCACCTTTTGTACCATATTTTCTTTTGGTCAATAAAGTTATTTAAATAAATAAATGTGAAAATTTATAGTTACCAGAGGTAGACTTTGTAAAAAAATATTGTTACTTCTGTCCCATTCGTGTTTCAACCGTAAAGCAGTTGTGTTTGCATGGCCGAGTTTTGGTTTCAAGGGCATTAATATGGCAATAATAGGGCAATAATATGCTAACAATATACTCAGCCAGGTCGATCTTCTCGCTGTTCTCCCTGGAAACTATCATGGTTAATTCCTGATGAATTCATCGTGATGGGCTAACTGGCCTGTTTTCATTCTCATCTATCACCCTTCACTGGTGCTCCACCAGCGTACCCGTTAGCGCAGGCGGGGTTACCAAACCATTTGCATCCATCAAAAAAAAATACGAGTAACAATGGCGCGAGGGGTGAGATCTTGTGAATTGTTAAGCTATTATTAATTTTGCGTTCGTGCTTTAAATTTGCACGAGTTTCTAATTATATCTACGCGGTGTTACATTGTATTTACGCGGTGTTCGTTTTGATATAAAGGCCCAATAATCTTCTAGAATGTTCGCGTTTCAATGTACCTTTGTTTATGCATAAATAAAATATTTTGTTTAGAAAATAATTAAAGGTTTTGTCCAACAAAAAAAAAATCGTCCTCCATTGTGACAAAACTAGTGTTTTTGATTTATAACTTATCTAGTTATGAGGTAACAAACATTAAAAACACAGATTTAGGAACTTAAATAACATCTAAATTGCTGGCAATGCATAAAACTAAGAATCTACTTATTCTTGTAAAAAGAATTATTATTCCTGTACACTTGTAATGATTTAGAATTTTTTTTAATTGGGTGATAATGAAATGGTAACTCCGCTGGAGCTAACGGTATACGCTGGCGGGGCATCAGTAAGGAGGGATGATAGATAAGAATGAAAAGGCAGGTCAGTTAGACCGTCGTGAAGAATTCCACGAGAAGTAACCATGATGGTTTCCAGGGGGAATCACGTAAGGGTCGACCTGATTAGTAACATTGCTAGCAATGGGGCTGTTAGACGCCATCGCTAACAATCCCTTTCCTCCCATGATTTAGTATTGACATAGACTAAGAATATCATCACAAAAATGCCTTTAAATAGAGTCAGTTTCTTTAAAATATGACCTATTTTGGTTCAGGGGTCAACACACAGCGTCGTTCGACTGCCGACTGTTCAGTGAACGGTACCCGGAGTACTGCTTCGTGTACGTATCGCAGGCCGTGACCGGCGCCGTCGCCGACGTCAGGATGGACTGTTTGCCGACATTACCGCTCTCAGGTTGGTTTCAGGTCTCAGGTTATAAACAAAAAACAACAATAAAATAAAAAAAAATATGGTAAAATTTAATATTTAGCTTACATAGACTATTTATGTATGTATTAATATTTTCACCACATTTTGAAAACAAAGCATAACTTAATAACTACACTAATAACTTCTGTACTGTTGATTAATGTAAATAATTAAAAATGAATTTGACATATGTATATAATATTACGATGCAATTGACACTGTTTATTGCAGAATTTATTTATTATAATTTATTATTATTATTATAGTTATTGGATGGTTGTAATATTCAGGATGTAATGATTTTTGTATGTTTATCCCTTATTTCAGACACAATGTACATTGTTTTTTGAATTAATGACTAATGACTAATGACTACAAGACCTACGACTATAAATTTTAATATTTTTGTTAGATAATAGGTCTCACTATCCCCCATAGCCCGCTGGTCCACTACTTACAGGACACCCTGTAGACACGTGCAAACATTTAAAGCTGACTAAAAGAACTAAATCGTCGAGGGATGGCCAACAGCGTCCTTCGTAAAACATCACCAAAGACCAATTACGGTTACCAATCCGCCCGCTGGATAAGCTATGGTCTAAAAATTGCTTCTTACAATTTTGTATGAGAGACTTAAAATTTATTTTGTATTTTTTTACGTATGTTTCGTTTGGAAAACTCTTAGATATTACTAATAGAATGCTGTCTAAAAATTATTAATGACTTGTATAAATCCTCTATATACTATTATTATAAAATATAAAATAATTAAGCAAGGTTCTAACCAACAGATGGCGGTGCGGGCGGATGGGGAGAGTGGTCCCCATGGTCCGCGTGTCCTGCGCCTGCGCATTGTTCGACGCGGACGCGAAGTCGCCATCGATTCTGCGATTCCCCCGCTCCGGCTTACGGAGCTAAGTATTGCGAGGTATTGTAACATTATTTATGAGTTTCTGTAACGCATAAGATGTATTTTGTACATAATCCCTTCATACAGGGTGGAAGGGACAGGTGGGCTAAAAGGAAAACAGCTGATTTAGATGAATAGTCTGAATCAGATGGAGACAGATGGACCAGAAGGAGACTTTGTATAAAAGTCGATTGCTTGGGTACCTCTGTCCCATTCGTGTTTCAACTGTGAAGCAGTTGTGTTTGCATGGCTGTGTTTCGGTTTGAAGGGTGGGATATGGCGTGAATTTACTGGGTACAGAGGAATAAAACCTGAGTCCTCAGGAATGGCAACGCATGGGGGTATCATGGGCGAAACAGTATATACTCTGTTATGTCCATGGTACTACTTATGTCTATGGGCGACGGTTACCACTTTCCATCAGGTGGACCGTCAACTTGTTTGCCATTCTAATACCCCCCATGCGTTGCGATTTCGTTGATTAATCCTTATATATATATATATATATATATATATATATATATATATATATATATATATAAGGATTAATCATCATCGTATCAACCGTGTATCATTAGTATCATCTATTGTGCGGGAATCAAACCTGCTATTAATTGAAGTTAAAGCGATACGTTAACATGTTAGATCATTTAAGTCTAGGTATAGTGCACTGATATTTCATAATTGATTAATTGGTTTATAATAGGTACAGATTATTAGAGGCAGTTTTATTGCTCTCTTTTCCAAACAATCTTTGGGTAGAAGGAATATATTTAAATGTAAATGTATATCATTATAAATTATTAAATTTTTCCATAAAACTTGTTGAAGATATATATTTCATTAATTATTAATTAATATAACTGCTATTATTATCTTCTATTAGTATAGAAATTGATAAAATATGACACAATACGACGATAGGCATTCTCTAATAAACGAGGTCGTATTTATCGAAAAATATACATGGCCGTAAAAATGGTGAGCGATAACGTATTATTTCATTGACATTTGCCAAAGTCTCCATTGTTGACAAGATCGCCTAGATACCTCAAACATGCAGTTGCTTAGCTACCGTTTTATCAATAAACGCTCAATATTCGCGGCGTCTGTCATACGTTAGTTGTATTAATATCTATTTCTTTTTTATATTACACAGTATTTATCAAATAAAAAATGGCACCAAAGAAAGACAAAGGAAAGGGTAAAGAAGAGGAACAAAAAGGTGGCGGTACTTTCACAGAGGTTGAGAGGACTTTCCTTGAACTACAAGTGGCCGAGTGTAATCGAAAAATAGCAAGATTGCGTTCAGCTGTTGATGAATATGAACAACGAAATGATGAGTTACAAAAGGCTTATGATAAATTAGATGAAGATAGGGCCGACATTATTGCATACTTAAAGAAAACCCTTAATCTGAAAAATGAAGAGAATAATGAGCTCAAAGATAAAGTTAAAGGTCTTGAAGAAACGAGAGAAATTGAAACAGCTCGATTTAAAGAAACTGTTGCTGAGTTAGAAAGAAATTTCACTTTGATGAAAGATCAACTAACATCAGAAAATAAACTACTGGCAGGTAAATTGAATACGCTTGAAGAATTTAGAGCTATAAGGGATGATTTAATGCGTAAATTTGAGAAACAAGAGCAGGACTTTAAGGATCAAGAAATGAAATATAAAAGAATTATATATGATGCGGAGAAAAAATTTGTAATTGGCAAAGATAAATTAAAAAAAGAAATGGAAGCCCGATTATTGCAGCTAGCACAAGATTTTCAAGATGCTACTGAGTTAAGAATTGCCGCATCTACGCACAGAGTGATAAGAGAAAATATAGCAATAAATAATGAACTCGATAACATTCTGTCTACACAAGCGAAATTGGCAGAGCAAAATGAGAAATTTAAGGAAAATGAAAAGGCTGCTCGCATAGCTAAAGAGTTAGCAGAAGAGGAAAGAGACAAAGCAATAAATAAAAATGTTGTACAGCTCAAAGTTATAGACCAGTTAACTACCGCTTTTCAGGAAATGAAAAAAAATAAGGCATTATCCGATAAAAGAAACTACGATTTTGAAACTCTACAAGTTAAAATACAAAAGTTAACAAAAGAAAATGAAAATCTTTCTCTTCAAGTTCGTATTTTGGAACAAAATTTACATGCACGAATGACTGACCAGAATAAAGCTGTGATAGAATCTTCTAAAGTAACAAAAGAATGTGCCAAGTTAAGAAGTATCTTAAAAGAAGCAGCAGTTGCTGTACAAGCTGCATTAAAATTAGACAAGTGGGCAACAACAGATCCCACTAGAGAAGTAATGGATAGGCAAAGTCTATTGTCACGTTTGCTTGATATAATAACGCAATATAGAGAACTTGAACGAGTAGAATCTATAGATACACTTGCTTCATTTGGGAAAGTTTACGAGGAAGGTGACCTTGGATTTATTCCTAAGCCTTTGGCAAAGAAATCGGCCACATCTGCTATTACTTCATTTGTTTCTAAAGAATCCATCAAAGCAGAGAAACGTAGCTCTTCTGCTCTATCTATTTCTTCATCTTCTCTTGGCAGTATCAAAACTGTTCCTAGTATGAAGCTCATACCAGCATCATCTGATATACAAGTGGCACCAAAGGATAGCCTCCCATCATTTGTAACTTCCACCAAATCTACAGAAAGTGAAAGTGCTGCAGAGGAATCGGAGGGTGAAGAAATGACGGATGTGGAAAAAATGTTAGCCGCTAGCAAACTAGAAATACAAAAGTCAATTATGAAGGATTTAGCATATTCTCAAATAGGTTTACATTCACAATCTAAAGTTGATGATGATCATGAAAAGAAAATTTCAAAATCTGCAGTAATCTTTGAAGAAGGCGAAAAAAGTGATATAGCAACTGCGGTAGAAAAAGAAGAGGTAGGTGATGAACATACAGAGGGCGATGATAAATCAAGCGATGCTAGTGATGCAGCGGAAGAGACAGAGGATCCAACAGAAGAAAAATCAGAAAACGCCGAATGAAATGTATTTAGAATTACATAGATATTGTATTTTTTGACGAATAGTATTTACAGATAATGTAATTTCTTTGTCATATTTTTTCAATAAAGAACTAATTTTATTGATTATTATATTATTTACTTAATACTTTGAGTACGGCATGATAGATGAAATATTATATAATTATAGAGTATGAAGGCAGTAGGAAGGAATGTTTTATAATAGATATAAACATAAAATTGTCTATAGGAAATTGCATTAAGCGTCAAGGCCAGCTTTTATGATTTCGTACTATGTACTTGTATCAGTATTATCTATTTAGAACTATATTTAGCACACACCACATACCCGTAGTACAAAGTAAAATATAAAATTAAATATATTATGATAGAACGTATTTTATCCCATAAAGTACGATTTATTGTCTCGAATATAGCTAGGTAGCAGGAATGTGGTTAACGAACTTAATACAAAATAAAAATGCCTTCAAGGAAATTGGTTGATAATACCTTATGGTGTTATTACTGATTTTATGCTATCTAAGTGTAAAATTTTAATTTTATACATTATTGGATTAATTATTGTAGAGCAAAATTCAACTATCTAATTTAAAACGAAATTATAGCTGAAAAAATGAATAATCTCAGCTACTAAATGTTTTCAAATAGAAGGAGTTTTAGAGCTATAAAGTGTGAAAAAATTTCACACAAAAATATTATAGTACTATGTTCTTTACTGAACAATAATCTCGGTACCCATGTATTATATTTATTGAAACGACTACTTTTTCCTAAACTAGGGTAATGCGGTACAACTAGCGGCTTGTGAGTGCACTGCTCCAACTTGGGCTGGTGATTCTCCAACAGTGGTGACAGAAGTCGGCCCTCGGTGTCGCTGTGGGTGCGTGCTACATTTAGCTCCAGCAGCCAGGCTCTTAGCAGGATCAGCAAGAGCGTGCCCTGCAAGATCGTTTTGGTTACTGCAAGTAAGTAAGATTAGATCTTTTCAGAAAAAAGACAATGAAATGTTTTTTTTTTTTTAATTAATTTACGACCTCAGTGATTTAGCGGTGGGCATGTTACGTAGACGAGGTGTCAGGTTCGATTTTTTCATTTTATTTCAGTTCAATTTCGATTCAATTTAGCGAATCTTTCCAAATTGACTCGGGTCTGGATATTCTGGGTTGATAATTCGGGTGTTCGTTACATAGTTTCCTAAAACAGAGGGTACCTCAACTAGAGGATCAGACAATTGGTGTTTACGTAGCAATTTGAAACAAAAAAAAATTGGGTACGTACATCCAAAATTATTTTTGTTTAAATGAAAGTTTGTTACTAATGTAACTTTGGAAAAACAAATTAATTTAAAATCAGTCGGTAGTCATAGATAAAATGATAATTAGATACATACAGTATAGTGATGTATACGATATAATATTAGAGCTCAAAACTAACAATACAGGTACAACAATAACGAGCTAATAATCTCAATACATACCGCCCACAAACATAGTTCTATTAATTAGAATATAATGTAGTTAATTTACAGATCCAATTAATTAATCATATATTATAAAGATATTAATCTTTAATATCAGTGAGAAATATTAACTCAAGATAACCTATTAGGCTATCAATCTCAATAAATCAAGCTTTTTCCATTAAAAATTATCTGGACCTTACAACTTTTCTCAATCTATAAATGTCATTACCTCAGTTCCAAGCTTTGAATTAATCAGGATTAGTTTTAGAGGCTGAAAATAGAATCGATTCTATCGTTGTGTGAAAATAACACAATGCTTTAGATAAATCTAGCTGTCCGATATAAATCCATTCAGTGTTTTATAGCATCCCTAAAATTCTTAGAATTTCAAATAGAATTTCCTAATTTAAAGTAAAAGACTAAACAGACAGAAAACATTTCGTCTGCGTACAAAATTTCCCTTTATTCTTTACCTTGTGTTCTTTTAAACCTGAGGATAAAAATCAGGAGTGTAAATTATAGTTTGATCATAATACAACCTAAAATTATATTCTGCAACCCACATGTCTTTGTCAAGGAATTCAAATTAGAGAGTTCTATTTCAAAACTAGAGAATTTTAAGACATTGAATGGATTTATATCGAACAGATTTCCAGCACGTTATATCCGTTTATTCTTTATATCTATAGCTAATTCCAAAGTTTGCAAATTCTAGAAACAATTTTAGAGAATGTTCATTTAAAAACGATCGATGGTCTAATTAAATTTGAAAACAAAACCGTTCAGTGTCTCCTACTATAGGTTTCGTGTTGATATTTCAATGATAACAACCTCAGGCATTAAAAGTTAGAGTGTTTACTGAAAGCTGACGCAATGTCGCGTATAATGAAGTTATGAACAGCCAATGCGAGTTTCTGACTCGTAGGTTTGGCCATCAAGCGATTTTCAAATTTGATTCCGTCGAAAAGCGTACATCAAGTGGGAAGTTTACATGCTAGGCAGTACTGGGATTTTAAAAAGTTATCCAATCCTGTTAACATAAATGTGAGAGTTTGTAAATATGTTTGTTACTCTATTACGTTTTAACGGCTGAATGGATTTTCATTAAAATTTGTACGGTAGTATAACATAACCATGTACTAATTTTACATATAAGATTTTACAATTATTAGAAAATCGCAGGTAACTAGATATGTATATATTTTTGTAATACCTACAAGTACATTTACTTTGCAAAAAAGAACTACATCAGTCCTGACAAAACCTATCAATTAATGACGAGGTGTTCCATTGATACAATTATTTGAATTTATTTTTAAAAACAAGACTTTTCTCTGTAAAAACAGTCTGCTTCAATCACCAAAAATTGCAAAAATATATTAATTGCAAAAATAATTGTCAAATTCAATTCAGAATTGAATCGACTTAAATTATTTACAAATACAAAAAAAAATCTGTCGTATAAGTGAAGCTGCTGCTGTGCTGAAGTGATCATAGATATGATAATATATTTAGCAAATACTTCTAGCAATTAAGGATATTCATCATTACGTAAAGCTGGTATTTTTTTTCTTAGGCTGAAGAAGGTTTGGTGGTGCGTCTACGCATGGAAGCTGTTAGGCTACCATGTTCGGGGCAGGCGCTGAGAGCACGCGATGGTGACTCTCTGGGTTCCCCTCTGCTAGCCTCATGGGACGGTCCTGATAGTACTGTTGTGGTATGTAATACAGAACCGACATTAAAATGAGTAAGATCAGGAGTTCAATGATCAGCAGATCATCAAGCTTAATGAGTATTTATGAATGAGAAAATGATGTCTTATTTAAAAAATATGTCGATAGAATACCAAAATACCATTGACTGTCTCAACTGGGATACTGCCATGATTGCATTTATTCTTCCCGTAAATAAAAAAGAAAATCTTTGGATTCTATTAAATGAATTTAGAAAAAACTTTAAAATATCAATTATTGCTTTTAAATTAATGCTTTTTCTGCAAGATATTGCATCTTTGAAGTGCATTAAATTCAGGTTGAAATCAAAGTTATCCTCAACGCGTATTCTACTAGTTAAATTTAATATTTTTCCTAAAGAAATATCGGTCACTAATTGTCAAAACTTTTAATTTGCTACCCACTTTGACTTAACGGGTAACACAGTGTAGGACAACCGCCCACTAGATGAAGTGACGACCTGAAATGCATTGCAGGGAGTGAATGCAAGTGGTTCAGGACCGTTCTTTATGGCAGTCTATGGGAGAGGCTTATGTCCAGCAGTGGACGAATAATGGCTGAAATGCTGATGATGATTGACTTGATAATCGAACGCGCTGTATTGGATCAGCAGACCAGAAATTCTTGTAAAATTTCGTTTCTTTGGAGAGAATATGCAATTTTATTAGTAGATTGCTGTCTTAAAACGATATATATATTGGTTTGTAAATATATCCTGTATTTCTGTTTATCACTATAGGCTGGTGACATAGAAGCTACGACTGATAGCACCGGTGTGCTGGAGATAGCTGGTGGACGACATATTCTGGTCGAGTTACGGTCCGGAGACACTAGCGAACGATGCGCAGGAGGGTTCCTTGCTCATGCTACGCAGATAGGTATGATTTTATGTATGTTGAAATGTAACTTTTTTTAAACTAAGAAGAAGCCAAGACATGAAATGGCTTAAAGTGAGATCGAAATTTAAATAATGCGGGAGCATTTGAAGGCTGTTAAAATGACGATCAATAATATAGTATTAATTGCTGTGTTGGCGACCTTCTCTTTTAGACTACATTACTTGGTTACCATCTGGTGGGCTGTGGTCACTTTTATTAGACCCTATAAAAACAATTTAAGATTAAGATATAAATGATATATGCAATGTATTCTTACCTTACGTTATTTTTATTACCTTTCCTAAAGAAAATAATTCATAAAGTAATTAATAATTCAAGATACGAGTATAATATAATTCTATTTCTATTTTGCATCAGGTGTATTTTGTCTGCTTGTTAGCCATTTTAGGTTATATAAAAAAAAATATGTGAACAGTTTTTGTTGCTATTTAAAAAGTTTTTGGCTGATTTCTAGTTTAGTTTCTAACCCTTAACTACTTCAAGAAATTAATATTTTTTATATATTTTTACTATTGGTATTATTGCTGTTAGGAATATATATTTACAAACCACCTTATGGGATATGAATAAGATCACTGATGTAATGTAATTCTCAGAAATAGTGATGACAACGTCATGAGAATTCATTTCTGAGAATTAGGCCGTATAGTTATTGTGTTAACACAACAGAAATTGGCTGAGTTATAAATAACTTATTAGCGTTGAAATTCAGCCGAGATATACAGAACTCCACTAGTAGCGTTAAAACTCAGTTTAGTAGAGTTTCGTCGCTATCGAAAACAACAATATCGAATACAACTTAGAATGGAAAACAAGCTGACGGCCCACCTGATGGAAAGTGGTAACCGTCGCCTATAGACATGAGCAGTACCATGGACATAACAGAGTATACTGTTTCGCCCATGATACCCCCATGCGTTGCCATTCCTGAGGACTTAAGTGTTATTCCTCTGTACCCTGTAAATTCACGCTATATCCCACCCTTCAAATCGAAACACAGCCATGCAAACACAACTGCTTCACGGTAGAAACACGAATGGGACAGAGGTGCCAAAGCAATCGACTTTTGTACAGAGTTTCCCTCTGGTAACATAATAACATAATTATCTTTAGACTAGAGATTTTGAAAAAAAGTCGTTTTCTTGGGTATCTTTGTTCCATTTGTGTTTCCGGCGTGAAGCAGATGTATTTGTATGGCTGTATGGAATATAGGTTTGGAAGATGGATATAGCAATAAAATTGTAGCGTACAGAGGAATAATAACATAGACTTCGAGAAAGGCAACTCATGAGTGGCATCTTTTCCATAGACAATGGGCATCACAGTGCATTCTCTGTTCATGGCACTGTTCAGGTCTAAAGGCTCTGATTATTATTTTCCACCAGTTGATTATCTATTTATTTGTTATTATAAAAACTTTAAATTTCCATAATTATATTTTAGTTATTGAATGAATGAATGAGTATACTTTATGTGCATTATACAATATAGGAAATAAACAAGACAATTTACAAACACAACGATACAATTGTATAAGTACAGTAAGAAGTGCTGTCTTCTTTTTGCGCTAACTAAAAAATTTTAAACAAAGTAATAAGACAGTCTAATAATTAAAATAGATTTGAAGAAGGTATTAGTCTTAGATTATATAGATAAAGCTTCGAATCTTAAAGACGGGTCAACTTTTTATCAGTCAATTATGAAATTAGCTTACTCGTTTTTTAACAGTGTTTTATATTTTTACGCATACAATGTATCTTGATGTATTATTTAAAATAATATATAGAATGAGTGTTTGCGTATTAGAACGGTGCATAATTTATAAGACGAAATAAACATAGAATTTATAAAGGAATTACCCATAACTATTTATTACGCAAAATTGTATGAAAAAGTTGACTCGTTTTTCTTAAAGCATTAGTATGGTGCCACTCTATCTATTTTATTTTTTTAATGGATGATAATGGAATGGTAACCCCACCCGCGCTATCGGTATACACCGGCGGGGCACCAGTGAAGGATGATAGGTGAGGAGATGAAGTAGGTCAGTTAGCCCATCGTGACGAATTCAACAAGAATTGTTCACGATGGTTTCCAGGGGAACCACGTGGAGATTGACCTGATAGGGCATATTGCTAGCAAGGGGGCTGTCAAACTCCATTACTAACAATCCCTTCCCCCCCCCCCCCCCCCCACTCTATCTATTAGGTATATATAATATAAGGTTTTAGTATTCGTGGATAAGAGATGAGTGTGGGTGTAATGACCGGGCAGAGCCGATCCGCAACGCGTCGGCGGCGTGGGCGTCGGCGAGCGCGACGCGGTGGTGGCGCGGCGGCGGCGGCGCGCGCGGCGCGGCGGCGCTGCTGGCGGCGGCGGCGGCGCTGGCCGCGCTCGGCCTGGCGCTGCACTCCGCGCACCGCACGCGCGCCTACCACCGCGCCGCCGACAAGGACTCGCTCACCGACAGCGACGGTAACGCTCGCTCTTCACATATATGTAATATATATGCACACTGATATGTACTTCAACAAAAAAAAAGAATTTTGCAAATCGGTTTACAACTGACGGAGTTATGAGGTAAAAAACAAAAAAAAAAAAACATATAACCGAATAGAGAATAGAAAAAAAAAAGAAAAAACCAGGTCATTTTGAAGTCGATTGAAAATAAGTCAACTTTATCTATCTATGTGTAGATGGATAGGATTATCATAATACGCACGCATGCACGCACATACGCACGCACGCGCATGCACACGCATACACACACACACGCGCACACGCGCACTCACAGTGAAAATATAAGGTTAAATTAAAAATAAAAACGATGAAACAAAATCACACGAATACATTTGCAAAAAAAAAAGACCAAGATAAACGTTGTATAATAATTCGTAACGATACTTATCTTTACTGATTACATTGATTTATATCCAAGTGTATAACATTTTCGTTTTAAAGACATTGAAAATTTTAATAAAGCAATATTAGACTATATATTTCCGAAGTCAAATTACAAAAACGATTTTTTCCAAAAAAAAAATTTAATTTAATTACTTGCAACTAAATAGTTGCAGTCAACGCCACGAAAAGTACCTAACCTGCCATTTGATTTAGACCATTCATCTGAATCAGCTATTTTTGTTTTGGCCAACCTGTCCTTTCTACCCTGTATATATGTATACTTGTGTTATGCTTTATACTATTTATGTGTAAAAATTAGTTATTTTAAATCCGAAAATCCACCGCAACAGCTAGATTGGTACTGGGGATGAATATAAAATAAAAAATAGCAATAGGTTAGACGTGTTTGAACTGAAGGGATTTAGTAGGCACGTGAAACCGTCACGACATTGAATCTCTTTGCAAAATCGTAATAATACGGGCAAAGACATATTGCAAACAAGCTTTTTATTGGCTTTTAGACTTTTCATATGATTTATATATGTTTATGTTATAAGAGATGGGAATTAATGTATATTTCTTTTTATTATTATTTTTAATAAGGAATTTCGCGACTGACTCTTGGCCACAGCAGAATATCAGTGTTTAGCTCTTTTAAGGGCAAAGCAATAAACTGAGTTTTGACCATTTTGTGTTACTATGGCACACGCATGAAGGAAAGGAAAGAAAGGAAATTGTTAGTTTATATATTTTGTTTTTTGTTTTTTTTTGTTTTGTTGCTTTTTTATTTTCATTCTTTTATCTCTTTTACTGTGTATTATGTGTATGTTTTTTTTATTGTAATTTGTGTGCTGTAAGTAATGTAAATAAATTATCTATCTATTTTGGTAAATATAATTATATTTACGGTGGGTTATCACAACGTATCGAGCAGGCCATGAGATGATCATTGATGACGGCATAGAATGCCATGCAAGGCCCACTCATGTCATTCCCGTGGATGCCGTAAGAGGTGACTAAGGAAATTTAATGCTTGAGGGTTGGGTTGGGCACCAGCATCCTTCCTAAAACATCACCAAATCCTGCGGTTTTTATATTGTTTTTTCCAATGGATGATAATGGAATAGTAAACCTGCCTGCGCTAACGGTATACTCTGGCAGGGCATTAGTGAGGGATAATAGGTGACGATGAAAGCAGGTCAGTTAGCCTACCGTGATGACCTATGGTAGAACGATGGGCAGCAGCGTCCCTCATGAAACATCTCTAAAAGCGGTTGCCAACTCGTCTGCTGAGTGTGGCAGCTACTAGCTCATAATTTTCCTTAATCCCCGCTTACGACACTCACATATATATATATATATATATATATATATATATATATATATATATATATATATGTACTCGTATATCTGCATAATATGAAAGGAAAAGCATTCGAATCCAAAGTCAATTTAATACGGTGCTTCCGTAGCTCTCTCGGTTGGCCTGTGGTGCGCTTTGAAAGCTTTAGATTGCCTTTGGATGCAATCTTATTTCTTTTAGTATTTTCTTTTCATTCTAACAGTTTCTGTGATATAGTAGTAAGTTCTAACATATACTCATAAATAAAGTCTATCGTTCGATTCTCCATTGGATTTATTAATATATAATCCAAAGCACTATTAGCGATAAGGTCGCCTATTGTTTTCTCACTGAGATCATTTCTTGTAATTGTTTGTATCTATAATAAGTTTAATATTGTAATCTTTTGGAGAAAACAATAAAGAGTACCTATCTATCTATCCAGAGGGACTTTGTACAAAAGTCGATTGTTTGGGTACCTCTGTCCTATTTGTGTTTCAACTGTGAAGCAGCTGTGTTTCCACGGCTGTGTTTCGGTTTGAAGGGTGGGATATGGCGTGAATTTACTGGGTACAGAGGAATAACACATAAGTCCTCAGGAATGGCAACGTATGGGAGGTATCATGGGCGAAACAGTATACTCTGTTATGTCCATGGTACTGCTCATGTCTATAGGCGACGGTTACCACTTTCCATCAGGTGGGCCGTCAGCTTGTTTGCCATTCTAAGTTGTATAAAAAAAATATCGTATAATGAATGCAATAATGTTCATTTTATCTCACACATATAGACACCTAATAGTTACTATTTTTGTTGCATTACTCGTATAAGGGTTCTTTTGTACCTTTTTGGTATGGAACTCTAAAAATAAATTTGCTGAATCGCACAACTAGAGAACGGCTAGACCGATTGGGCTATGTTTTTTTTAATATTCTTTGAGCCCGAGGTAGGTTCTTATGAAATGAAAAATAAACTAAATCAAATCTATACAAGTTTATGGGGAAATAGGGTTTCTATAATCGTCATCATCATATCAGCTTTTAACTGTCCACTGATGAACATAAACCTCTCCATTAGGGGGTTTTGTCAGTAGTTGCCACGCTTGGCGGGCGGATTGGCAACAGCAATCAGAGTTTTGAGATGTTTTAAGAGGGACGCTGCTGCCCATCTCTCGTCCTCCCTTAGTCGCCTCTTATGACAGCCTTGGGAAAGAATGGGATAGTCTATTCTATACTGGGACTACACGGGTAGTTGAAGGTCCATAGCTACTCCGTGGGCCAGTGTTGGCAGGGAGCCGGTCTAATTCCTTACCAATCAGATATATTGAAGCGTAAAGCAATCATGTATGGTAAAATAATGTCAAATATATTTCTATAATAGTAAACAAATGAAATGCTCGGAAAAATTCAAATTCTCTATTTTTCCATTTCCCATAAAAACTGATCCTAGCTGTGTTGTTATGGTGTTATTATGGTCCAGTAGTTTTTAACAGAACAATCTCTGTTGGTTTAGATAATAAAACATAAATTGTGCCAAGTTACCTTTGCCTCGAATTAGAAAAAGATTCTCTGGAATAAATCTTTTTTTTTTTTTGTTATCTAGCGTGTTCAGCTTCTCTAGAACTTGGTGGGGCTACAGCTGGCTCCAGAAGCACGCTCCTCTCAGAGGTGGTTGGTGGTGGAGTCTCGTTGCGGCGTCTTCTACCCTCGGGGAAGACTAGGCATACGAGGCTAAGGGACTCCGATCGAGCATCTGAGACAGTCGAGCAGCGGTAAGTCAGAATTATATGGTGGTAAAACTATTTATTTGGATTTAAAAACTAAACTATTGAATCGATTTTGATAAAATTTCAATGGGATCAATTTGTAAGTATATGAAATAAAAATAAAGACTTTTCCAGAGGGAGACTTTGTACAAAAGTCGATTGCTTGGGTACCTCTGTTCCATTCGTGTTTCTACCGTGAAGCAGTTGTGGTTGCATGGCTGTATTTCGGTTTGAAGGGTGAGATATGGCGTGAATTTACAGGGTACAAAGGAATAACACCTGAGTCCTTAGGAATGACAACGCATGGGGAGTATCATGGGCGAAACAGTATACTCTATTATGTCCATGGCACTGTTCATGTCTATAGGCAACCGCTTTCCATCAGGTGGGCCGTCAGCTAGTTTGCCATTCCAAGTTGTAAAAAAAAATCAGCTTGATTGACGAAGAAAATTTACATCCTTCTTTTTTTAAGTCGTTTAAAAATAAAAGTACCAGGAAAGCAGAACTATGCAGGAGCTAATAAAACTATTATTCAGTAAGAGCTGTAAGACAATACGTAATGTTTTTATCATCTCTTGCATGGTTCTATTCTCCTGGTACTTTAGGGCACGTTTATTTGTTGAAATAAACTAGTTCAGTTATAGATATCACGAATTACACTGTGACGCCTTGTGGTGACTTCATATCCTACATCTAAACGGTGAGGCCATTCAAATTAAATCACATCCTTATAAGAACAGCTGATAGATGACAGAAACGCGAGTGGGACAAACTTACCCAAGTAAACTCTTTTTTACAATGTCTTCACTAATACAAATAGTAAGTTTTACATTGTTAATTGTATTGCCTTTAAGTAACATATTTTGTAATGTCCGCTTCTAAAGTATATTTGTGTCGGTTTAAGACTTAATATTTTGAAATCAAAGCTAAAAACTACAAAGAAAGTGGAAATTAAATTAGATACGGCTCTCTTGTTGCGAATTAACTTTTTCATCATATGTCAGAAACAAAATTTATAAGTAAAAAATAAAAAGAACCAAAATTGTACTTATGTAATTTAATTTGAAACATAATATAAAGAATAAGTATTTATTCAAGAGGTCATTTAGCGTAATAAAAACATTCCTGAATTTTTTAAAGCTTCCAAATTCCTAGCTACTCTTATGTCTAGTATTTGCGTAAATTAGGATGAAAATATTATATTTTAATTATTAAATACCAGTTTAACATATGTGTAATTTGGACGAGTAAGCTCGACTAGTTTCGGGACCATTCGGGCCCTTTATTCTTGAGCGTCTGTGATGTGAATGCAAGCCGACCATGGAGCTTCTATCCATGGTCAATGTTAAAGATTGAAGTTGAAAGGCGACACACACACACAGTTGAGTACACGACACGACGGTTTACTAACACAGTCAGTGATAACACGGCAGACGAAAAAGGAAACTAGGGAGCCCAGTCGTTTATAACCGAAGTTTTCCGAACGTCATTTTTCTTGTCTGTGACGGTACTCGAATATAGGTCGCGTTCAATGGGCAGAGACGCATAGTCAGGGTTGTTGGCGCTTGTATCACAGCTGCTTAAGATTAAGGGTCCCGAATAGTCCTATATATATATGTACATACATATATGAGATCCTTATGAATCTTTGAAAAAACTCATGAACCCTTTTCATTAAATAAAAGTCTAATTAAAATCGGTACGCGCTCAGCGAATGTATCGCGTAATATAAAAACAAAAATAAAAAAATATTCGAATTGAACGCTTTATTTTTAGACGTCGTTAAAAATAATTAACAGACACTCGATTCTTTTTACTGTCAAGTGTGAGGGTAAAAACAAGGTAATACTTGTATAAAAAGGGGTAATTATAAAGAATGCCCCGTTAAAATTGTAGTGCTATTGTTTAAGCACGTATTGCGCTAGAGGGCGGTGTCATAGCTTGCTGGTTTACTATTGATATCGAGTTCAGGGTTTTAATTAATAAAAACAAAGAGGGATAGTTTTTGTCATGATATTTTTTATTTGTCTTCGTGTGATATTGAATTGTAATAAATATACCAGAGGGAGACTTTGTACAAAAGTCGTTTGCTTGGGCACCTCTGTTCTATTCGTGTTTCTAACGTGAAACAGTTGTGTTTGCATGGCTGTGTTTCGGTTTGAAGGGTGGGATATGGTAGTGAATTTACAGGGTACAGAGGAATAACACCTGAGTCCTCAGGAATGGCAACGCATGGGGGGTATCATGAGCGAAACATTATACTCTGTTATGTCCATGGTAGTGCTCATGACTATAGGCGACGGTTACCACTTTCCATCAGGAAGCAGTCAGCTTGTTTGTTATTGAAAGTTGCATAAAAAAATTGCATTGCATACGAGTACTTGCAAGATAAAATAATTTGAGCTCAGTTATTTATTGTACAATATTAAAAAAAAAAAAAAAACTGAGAAATTACTATTGACAACAATAGTATTTTTTCAGTTTTTTTTTTTTTTAATATATTATTTAATATCTACAAAGAAGAAATAAAACAATCATTTTAAATACGTAATTTCTTGCCACAAATATTTTTTTCTTGTAACTTTGACGTTACATAGTACAGCAATAACAAAACACAAGTATTTTACAGTTGTTTAGTTATCTTATTTAATAATGACTCTAAACAATATCAATAAATGTAAATAATTTATTAAAGTAATTTAGTACCTATAAACCACTAATCCTCGTAATTTGGTCGACCTTTTGAGCTACTGTACAATGAATGGAACTAAAAATAAATCCTTTTCAATCCAGTAATTAATAATGTAATAACAATTCCACAATTGTTTTAAGTTGTAAAAATCTTTTCTAATATTAAAAATTTGAAAATTTGTTTTTATTGTCACCATTTGGCGCTTTAATGGCTTCACCAAACGACGTGAAATTGTAAAATGTAACGAAATGTAAAATGCACATAATTGTATATGGGATGGAGGACTTTTTTTAATAGGTGATAACAGAAAGGTAACTTCGCCTGCGCTAACGGTATATGCTGACGGAACATCATTGAGGGATGATAGGGGAGGACGAAAAAGCAGGCCCATCGTGATGAATAAACTTGGAATTCAGCATGAAAATTTCTAGAGGGGATCATGTGGAGGTAGACCTAACAGGGTATATTGCTAGCAATGGGGCAATTACTAACAATCCCTTTCCCCTGATGAAGAAAGAGTAGGGTAAAAGACGAAAAAGATGAGAAACTAAAAGTAAGGCTGCTATTTATCTTGGTCAATAAACATGTCCCGGGCGCGCAGACAAAGCAGTAATTAAAATCTTCTATTATATATGTTTTTTTAAATAACAGCGAAGAGGAAGATCAAAATACGGACGTGGAAGTGGAGCAAGCGGATAACATAAGCGTTGCGAGCGCTGCCAGCGTTGTGAGTCAAGCGACCGTCACCCCGGAGACAGTGTCAGCGAGTAGCGCCCCAGCAGGCCGGAACAATATCGCTCCATCGCCGATGAAGCGGTCACACACTGTGTCAACTACGAATGTGAGTGTGCAAGAGGTGAGTTAGTATTCGTAAAATTTAGGTCATTCCCACAACATGTGATATCTATTTTTTTTTTAAATAAATGATAACACAATAGTAACTCTTCTTGCGTTATTGGAGTACGCAGTCAAGTCTCCAATCAAGCATGGTAGGTGAAGATGAAATTGGTTCTGTTAACCCATCGTGACTAATTCGCCGAAAACTAGCTGCGATATTTTTTAGAAGAGACCGCGTGTCGGATTGTTCAAAGGTCAACCTGACCTTACTCGTCCTAAAAAACCTTTATCCCGAACGGGCTTGACTATAAAATATTGTAAATCGCAATTCATGTTAAAATGACATAAAATATTGATATTATTTACTTTGGTATGTATACAAACTGTATATAATATATATGTAATGTGTCATCGTGTGGTCCCGGCATAGTATTGATTACCCCATCCTTTCTCGTGAGTGTCTTAAGACGATTAATTCTTCTCTTTTCGCGTCTAGGGAAAGTAGATAAAGTTTTGTTAGAGAAATCAGTTCAGGGTACGATAGGACTGGTATACCTGAAGAAGATAAAAGCCCTTAAAATAATAATAAAAAAGAAGCGACTAAGGAAATATAATGGTAGAAAGATAGGTAGCGGTTTAAAACATCTCTAAAAGTTTAACTGCGGTTGCCAACCTGTTTGCCCAACCCAAGTGTGCTAACTACTGGCAAATTATGGAGAAGGCTTATGTTCAGCAGTGGACATTTACGGCTGAAATGATAAAAAATTATATACAAACTGGTCAGTTTATTCCGAGATTTTAATCAGCATACATTGCAAATTTGCGATCAACCAAAGAGAGATCTTTGGCCTGACCCGATATAATTTTTTGGCTCGGCGCTGTATGAACAGCGGTTTAGTCTCATAATGGTGCAAAAGGTCATTGCTTTCAGAGCTTTTAGCATCCATAATTACTTATACGAATATATGACGTGGAATAGGGAACAAGGTCACGATTTCCCTGATGAAAAACAGTATTCATAATGTATATACATTAGTAGAATATACTATAAGGCCTATAATATCAGGCGTATGTATTAACTATATCTAGATAGCGTAGAAAGGATGTACAAAGTAATAATAAGGATTAATAACGCGAGAGTTCAATATTGCAAACGTTTAAAGAACTGAAATGGCTGCTTAACTCCAGGAGGATCCTATGCTTGAAGGTTTATTTTGTAATATATGTACTGAAAATATAAACAAAATTTTATTAGGTCACGTCACCGCCCCAACAATCTAACAGCGAGACCGAGACCGCTGAGCTAAGCACAAGCATTACAAGTATAAGTGAGAGGGATAGCTGTAGTGAGAAGGATAGAGATAGCGTTTGGGAGAAGGATAGAAGTGAAAGTCGTGCTTCATCTTCTACTTCTGCTGCCACACTCACAAATGTAAGTAAGCATTATATGTCTAATTCACTTATGCAAATTAGAAGCTGTCGGCCCTCCTGATGAAAAGTGGTAATCGTTAACCAAAAAGATGACCAGTAAGACAGACATCACAGAATTTTCTATAACACTTTATGAGTGTTGCCAATTCTGAAGACAATGGAGTTATACCTTCGTTTGTCTATTTGTTTTTAAAGACTTGGAAAAGAATATTTGTATGTCCGATGAAATTTCTCATTGGTCACTTTCAACCCTTTATTGTCATTTAATGCTCTTAGGAAAAAATTTTTCAACAATTAACTTAGTGTATTTTGATTTTTTATAAGTTGCTGAATATCATACTGTACAATTATAGACTTTACCAACTCCGGATGTGTATTATCTAACCATCCAGTACTTGATTTAAATACTTTAGCCTAGTTTAGTAATACCTATCCCAGTAGTCATGACTTCGAATCTAGCCGATATTAAAAGAAAAGTCTTCAAATATCTTTGTTTATTTAATATTACACTCATATACTTGTTAAATTTAGCACAATAATTCAGTAGTACACCGTTCTTTTTAGGGCTGGTACTCCCCAGCTTTAAGTGGAGTATCATCAGCGAGAATCCGTGATAATCCAAAACACACAAAAGAGAGCTGCAACCGTCGACTCCTAAAATCAGACCTAAGTTTGACTTCACATCCTGAAATGGAGATCGATTATTACGACTACGAAGTTAACAATGCTGGTAAGTTACTCCATAATTTTTCTCTTATATGATGTATATTCTATGGATTACCATAGAATATACATTTTGACATTAGTCAAAGCTGGTCCTAGCTTACTTGATGCCTCTAGACAATATTGTTAGATGCGCTCTTCCTAACGATAAAAAAATGCCAAGGTCGAGATCCTGTGTTCGGTTCAAAGTACTTCAGGTTACTTAAGATTTTGATACAATATTTTACTGATACAATGGTGCCCCTCTTAGGCCTTAGTATAATGCTGAATAGTGTTATTTTTTTTTTTATACAACTTAGAATGGCAAACAAGCTGGCGGCCCACCTGATGGAAAGTGGTAACCGTCGCCTATAGACATGAGCAGTACCATGGACATAACAGAGTATACTGTTTCACCCATGATACCCCCCATGCGTTGCCATTCCTGAGGACTCAGGTGTTATTCCTCTGTACCCAGTAAATTCACGCCATATCCCACCCTTCAAACCGAAACACAGCCATGCAAACACAACTGCTTCACGGTTGAAACACGAATGGGACAGAGGTACCCAAGCAATCGACTTTTGTACAAAGTCTCCCTCTGGTAAAATGTTAATTCTGATACTGTAATTGATGTTACAATGATGTTGTGATGCATATATCAATGATCACCCATTCATTTTCCTTTCAAAGTCCAGTATAATGTGATCCGCGATTAAAAATATAAAGCCCAATATACAAGTCTATAAAAATATAATCCCAAAATTAAAATTTTATGCCAATCTACCTGACCATTGTGATAATAGTTGGATCTTAAACTTTATATGCAATATGGCATATCGCAGTAACTTAGGTAAAAATAATAGAATCTCATATCTCTAATTTGTTACTTTTCATGATAGTTGGGATGGATCGGCAGCAGCGTCTCTCTTAGAATATCATTAAAGCCTAACATGTATTAGTAGTACCATACATAACATAATAGTAGTTACCATGGTTAGCAAGCGGGTTGGCAACCCGCTTGCTAACCATGGTAACTACTGGCAATCCCCCTCTCTCTATGGCACATACCAAGGCAATCTATGGGAGAGGCCTATGTTCAGCAGTGGACAGTTAACGGCTGATATGATGATGATTGCTTATGATGATATTGTTGCAGGTTCTGTTCCAGGCTCCTATCTCGGGATGGACCCGGCGTTTTTAGTCTGGATCCCGCCTCTTGAAGAAGGGGATATAATTAAGGAGATCGACGAAAGTAAAGCACCAATTTATGAAGTAAGTATACGTTTAAAAACATATCCACAGTACATAGTACACCGTAGCACACTTTGCAATTTCATATAATTTAAGGGAATGGAGTCAATATGAAATTGAAAACGTTGGTATTCATGAACCTGAATGACTTTATTTAAAGGAATTTTAACCAATGAGTTAAAATTTCAAATAAATTTTAGTAATTTAATTGTAAGTTACTAGAAATCGTTGTTACTTTACTGACGACAATTCTCTATCGATAGTCACTTCCTGGCTTTTTTTACAACCAGATTTGAACTATATTTTTAAATAAGTATTGTTTATTTTTAGTGCTCAAAATGTTTTTATACAATTCTAATATAATAAGTTAATAAAAATAATAAATAACGAACAATCATATCAATTTTCTAGTGCTCATACTAAGATTCCTTCCCTATATATGTGAAAGAAACCAAACCAACCAAGCCAATTAAAATGAAATCTCTCCTTTAAATTGGCAGAAAATCCAACTTCGAATATCTTGTTTACACCAAGCAAGATACATGCTACATCAAGCAGGTTGTTATATAAGGAAATTTCTCGGAATTTATCAAATCCAAAATATTATAATCTCATAACACTTCTTATAATAACAAGCAAATACAGCTGGTACAAAAATAAGTTTGGAAAGTATTCGACGCATCATCCCTCACGTCACACACAGATATGAAATTTGCAAACTTTGAAACGCGTGTTTTGAAAATTAATGTCTGCTTTTAAACATGGGTTCATATAAACGACAAAATGATCGCCAGTGTTTATTTTGCAGTTTGTTTCAATTCAATACAACTTAATGAAAAGTAACTATTTATTTTAATTACCATAGAAACTTTCTTAATTAAATTAGAAAATAATAGAAACCTATTTTTGATTTGTACTGCTACTGAATACCGGTAGACTGTCTTAAGACCGGGTCCATTATTCGTTTGTTTACATTATCATTAAGTTTTAATTTAATAGATAGATGTTTTATCAATCACAGTTTAAATTTAAGTAGTTTAAAAAATAGGATAATAATAATATATCTTGTTACAGGAAGTGATACCAAAAGAACTACATCCAGATCCCGGCAGTAACACAGAGTCGCCTGAAGAACGACCCACATCAAATACCCTCAGGAGAAACCCCGACAATCGCTGCAACAGATCAAATGAATCTATAAAATCTATACGCAAAGTTATCGATAGAGGAAACATAATCCATCCTCTCAACTTTAGCATAAGTGATTTGCAGAATTCGCCAAAAATGACAAAGAGGAATAAGAAAAAGAAAGATGATAATTCTGTGACAATACCTATGAAAGACTTGACACTAACTAGGTCCCCTGTGAGAGTACATAGAAGGGATGTTAGAAGTAATGATTTTGATAATTCTTCAACATTGAAAAGAATTAATGACACAGCAAGAGAAACAAATGCTGATACATTGAAGAGAATAGATTTTTCAGATATAAAATTTGCCGATGAAAATTCAGATTCGTCGAATGAAATAAAATTCGCCGACGATTCGCCTGATAGTAATAGGCTCGTTGAGAAATTTGATGTCAAAGCTTAATGTGGAGCTAATAACAAAGTTTTACGTAATTCTTAATTTTTATCAATAGACATCTTGCTATTAGAAAATAAACTGGTATTTTCAGTCGAATCCTTCGATATGTTTTGGTTAGTTAAATGTAAGGACCAATCTGTATAAAACGACATATATTATCTTTCATATCATCAGATCGTCTAACATATAGTTACATATATTTTTAACAGACTTTCCATTACATCATATTTAAGGTAGCAAAGTATTAGAGTTTTATAATCAACAGTTATTTCTCATAATGTAGCTATTGTAGGATCATTGTCTGCGTAGATTTTTCACACAATGTCCATTATTGCTTTGCACTATATATAACCATGAGGCATTAATAAATCAAGGTAGAAAATCGTATAAATATTAGAATTATTTTTATTGGTATCCTGAAAATTATTAAAACTTTAATTGTTTTAATAATTTTTGGCATCATGGGAGCCTGAAATTGTAAAATATAAAAATGTGTTGCAAAATCAGTTTTCCTGCTAGTTACTCTTAGCAAGAATATCTACAGTAAAATTAAATAATTTGATTACATTCAACTAGAAGTTACTGAAGTAGATAACAATCATCCAGTCGTATTATCATTCATTGATGAAGACTGTTGAATATGATCTTATGAATTAAAAAAAAATTAACCGTAGGTATCAATCCAACTAGATCTTCTCACGAAGAATAAATGAAAAAGGATTAAGTGGCTTAGGACGGTAGAGGATCAAAATAAGATATTTTTACAGTTTAAAGTACAGTGGGGTTTAAAAAGGGTGTGTAAAGGTTTCTTCTGGGTCAACAACGCGTACATGATATTCCAAATATTGCAGTCGTCTATTGGCTGCAGTGATTGTTTAGAATCAGACAGGTTATATGCTTATTTGCCACCATTGTGGTATAAAAAAATACTTTCAGTATCACCTGAAATGTTAGATTCCAATTGATTAACAAACTATGGCCAATTTTTGTAATAGATTAATCTTAATTACAAAAGACACTATTGTCTATAAATATTTTTTACAATAGGTACTACAAAGTCATTGATCAGACTCTTGATTGATCTTTAAGGATCTCTTGACATGATCCTTAAACTAACACAAATATTTGAGAGAACAATCCGATTATCCAGACCCGAGGAAATTCAAAATTCATTTCCCAAATTGGTTCGACCGAGAATTGAAGTTTGGACCTCATTTTTGTATAGCAACGCCTACCATTGCGACAATAAGATCATCACATCGTCGTTATAGAGTCCTGAGCTTATATTTTTTATTAATATAGCAAAACAAACCTTATATTTAGATTAAAAATAAATAAAAGACTATTTCTACTTTGATTTGTTTATGTACCACATCGCATAGGTTAAGAGTGTATTATTTTATTGAATCACGAATTTGCTATTAGAAAAAATGTTAAATAATAGTAAATATTAATAATAATTCAAATGGTTTATTTCGAGGTTTAAATATAACTTCGGGCAGTGCAATATTAAGAAAAATAAATTTTCTTATTCGAAAAGTTACCCAATTGCGATGAAATTAGACGCAGTATTGATTGATCGATGTGGCAATATTATCCCAATTTTCTAGTCAATGTTGCCAGTTACTTGAACATATTTTTTTTATTTAGCGTTACACTTTACGAGTTTTATTTATTATTGTAGAAAATATTGCATTTATTTGATTGTAATTTTAAATTAGCTGTAAGTAACTACATAGAGTGTTATTTTTTAATATTATTGTAAAATTATTTAGCAATATCCTCTAGTTTTTAAGTGAATTATGTTATGTCAGATGTTTTAGTTAGTAATGATGCCATTAAAACGTTTTTATTTTGTATTTGATATTGTTGTTTCATTGTACCATTTTCGAATTTGACAAAATGACAATTTCATTCTTTCAATACCTACACAGTTGACACGAATAGACGAAGAGAAGGGTGGGATAAGGCAGTGAATTCACATGGTACAGAGGAATAACATCTGAGTCCTCAAGAATGGCAACACCTGTAGGGTATCATGGACGAAACAGTATACTCTGTTATGTCCATGGTACTGTATAGGCTACGGCTACCACTTTTCATCAGGTGGGTTGTCAGCTTATCTGCCATTCCAAGTTGCATAAAAAAAAAGAATAATTGCGAATAAAAACTACATTTGCTAAGAAATAATGGATGTGTAATAAGCCAATCTGTAGATTCTAAAAATATTAAATAAACTAACCAAGTCCCGCGGGTTTACCCGTGTACCAAATTTCATTCAAATATGTTTAGTAGTTTTTGCGCGAAAGAGTAACAAACATTCGTTCATTAGGCTATTAATTGTAACAGATTTTTACATTTGTTATATTAATAGGATTGGGTGGAAACCTTCCAATAGTGGGAGGCCTATGTTTAACAATGGACAAATAACGTCTGGTATAATAATTAATAAAAATAAATAAAATAATGTGGATAGATACTCCTTATTATTTCCTCCAAAAAATTACAATAGTAAACTTATTATAAATATAAACAATTACAAGAAATAATCACAATGAGAAAACAATGGGCGACCTTATCGCTAAAAGCGATCTCTTCCAGGCAATCTTTGGATGGAGAGGAGCTAAACAGCTTGATCGGAGGCACGACGAAAATTCTATTATTTCTAAATATGGAGATGTGATACATGTAATAATGTATATATATATATATATATATATATACATACTCATTATTTATTATATATATCTATCTATATATATATATATATATATATATATATATATATATATATATATATATATATATATATATATATATATATATATATATATATATATATATATATATATATATATATATATATGTACCTACTCATTATTATATATATACACATACATGTGGTTTTAATATAAATAAATCAAGGAGACTCGACAATAGTGAAATGGAGCAACTCTAATCTAAGCTTTATTATATAAATAATATTGCTCATCTATGTAACAGATATGCTATTAGAATACTGACCCAGTTGCCTCATAAAATCACTCCAGGCATGCAATATCGCCGCCACGGGCTACACGTTCAACTTAATTGGTAAATTGCGGCCATATTAAATTCCTATCCGCTAAAGTGTTCATGAGAATACCTAAGGGAGCAAGCACGGAGGTTTGCAAGTAAAACTAGCTTCACGTACGTTCATGTACGTAGTAAGGTAAACATTAAAGATGATTATATTATTACTAGGTTTTACCATACAGTGTTTAAACGTAAACTTAAAAATTGGCTGTTATGTAACGGGTTTTATACTATTAATGAATATTGTCGTTAAAAAAACAAATGCACTTTCAACCTACACTAGAGATACAGTTGTTAAAATATTTTATTAATTTGGACAACTATTGTATAGGCTTTTATTTTTTTGTTTACTGTAATAAATAATAATAATATATTGTATGACTAAGGATATAATGTAGAATATATATATAAATTTATTATATTGTAAAAAATTTGCAAACATAGAGTGTACTATAAACCTTATCATCTAAAATTACCTGCATTCTAGTATATATTCATTTAATTTAATTAATTTCATTTCATTTCATTTACCCGTGTCTTCGTTCGTGTGGTTGGGATAAAAAGCCTATGTCGTTCATCGTTCGTCCATTCTACATATATAGCGTATGCATATACATAACAAACTTTTGTAATAAAACCATGTAATAAAATATTTTCACTAAAAATCTGATTTCAGTTGTGGCACATTTATTTTGATTCAAAAACTAAACTACTGGACCGATTTTGATAAAATCTCTTTGGTACTAAACTGTAAAGATAACTTTTTGGATAAAAAAATATTTTTTAAATCGATTTACAACTGATGGAGTTGTAAGGTAACAGACATAAAAAAAAAATAACAACCGAATTGATAACTTCCTTCTTTTTGAAGTCGATTAACAAACAAACCCACTTTTATATTAATTAATATTAGTTTGGATATCCATTGCAACAGCTCGCGGCTTTGTTTACGTGAATAATAATAAAGAGTAAGCTGTTAAGTATAGGTCATTATATTACGTCATAGTTCATGATAATAAATAGATACTCCTTATTGTTTCCTTCAAAAAATTACAATACTAAACTTATTATAGATACAAACAATTACAAGAAATAATCACAATGAGAAAACAATGGGCGACCTTATCGCTAAAAGCGATCTTTTCCAGGCAACCTTTGGATGGAGAGGAGTAATTATAAACATAATTGTTATTACGATTATAAACCTGGACGAATAATATTTTAATTCAATTTATAAATAGGTCAGTAATTAATTATTGATTCCATACAGTTAATTTTTTTATGCAACTTAGAATGGCAAATAAGCTGATGGAAAGTAGTAACCGTCGCCTATAGACATGAGCAATACCATGGATGTAACAGAGTGTACTGTTTCGCCCATGTTACCACCCATGCGTTGCCATTCCTGAGGACTCAGGTGTTATTCCTCTGTACCCAGTACATAAATTCACGCCATATCACCCTTTAAACCGAAACACAGTTATGCAAACATCTGCTTCTTGGTAGAAACACGAGAGGTGACCAAGCAAACGACTTTTGTACAAAGTCTCCCTTTCAATGTATTCTATTATATATGTACCTATGCTATCAAATGCGTTCATAAACTGTCGGTTTTTAAATTAATTTTTAGAAGAATTTTTAATAAACGATCCAGGCTCGTGCATTATTGCAGTTTGTAGCATAGTTCGTTCTTTGCCTCTGATAAATTTATTAACAGTTTTAAGGTATTTTTTTGAAGTTAACAAGCGAAGTTTGTCCAGGGATTGAATAGTAATCCCTCCACGTCTGCGTGCATTGATTTCTTTGTAATATCATAAATGTAAAATTGAGTTTATTTGTTTTTTGTCCCTTAGCGCTTTAACAGTTCATCTAATAAATATTAAATTTGGTACTTACATATAGCATGTGATAAATAAAATTTTAAATAGTTTTAGAATTTAATTTTTATTATTTATTTATTTACAATAATGGAAACCATTGGAAAACCCCCCAATAGGCTGTTTAGTTTTTTATCTTGATTTAGTTGTGGGTAAAAGAAAATTTAAAGTATTTTTTAATGGATGATACTATATAATCTGGTCTGCGCTAATGTAATACGCTAGCGGGGCACCAATAAGGAATGAAGCGTGATGATGAAAAGGCAGGTTAGCCCATCGTGATGAATACACCTGGAATTCAGCACGATGATTTCTAGGGGGACCACGTGGAGGTCGACCTGGTCGATTGATAGTAATGGGACTGGTAGTCCAAAGTATCTTTTTGAATGAGTGGTAGAAGCATGAGTTTTGTTTATCTATAGCTTGGTTCTTTGGTTCTCCAGTAAGCACCAAAGGCTCAGCACGAGACTGCGTTAAAATGTATATTTCTATATATATTTTAAAATATCGGCTTTAAAATTGTATTTGTTGGATTATAAAGTTTAATTTCAATAAAGTTCCAAAAAAATAGTAATATATTATTCATAAGTGGTAACAATGATTTTTTTTAAGTGCCTTTTTTTGGAAGGTGGCAACTTCTATATTTTTTATTAAGTGTATGCTTTCTCGTCTCTGGCTTAAGCTAAAGATTTATGTGAAATACTGTTCAGTAAAAAAATATTGTCTGCTGTTGTTTATAAAAAAACACCATATCGAGTTTCAATAGAAATTTACATCAGTATTAATAAATAAAAAAAAATTGTTTAACTAGTTCTCAAAATGAAATTTTCTCTTTTCTCTTCTTCTCGTTCTCTTTTCTCATAATGAAAGAATAAGAGCAAGTGATTAAAAATTTTATCAGATTGATTTAGTAATAAAGGAAAAGAAAGTGGCGAATAATTTAGTGAAAAACATACTACCGTCTTATATTCGACTAAATTATTATAATTCAGAAACGTTTAGCCGCTTAATCGCTCGTCAAGTCGCCACTCGAATTAATTACTAAAGCAGTGCAATTCTAACAACTAGGAATCAAGTAAGTTTCCCTGTCGCACCTCTAATTGGAAAGTAAATTAACCAGGAAATAAACAAACTAAGTTAGATAACAATTTATCTAGGAGAGAACTCAATTTCTATTTCTAGCCAGCAGGTAAGTACATAGAATGCGAGCAGCCCCGCCTTGGGAGCTCGCCTAATTAGTTCAGTACCGGTTGGATTTGTAAATAAAATGGCAGCACAGTATAAAAAATAATCCTTATTTATATTACAAGTCAGTTAGTTTTTAACAAATTAACGGCTCAACCTATCATCATGAAATTTAACTATTGTTTTTTTTTTATACAACTTAGAATGGCAAACAGGCTGACGGCCCACCTGATGGAAAGTGGTAACCGTCGCCTATAGACACGAGCAGTACCGTGGACATAACAAAGTATACTGTTTCGCCCATGTTACCCCTAATGCGTTGCCATTCCTGAGGACTCAGGTGTTATTCCTCTGTACCCTGTAAATTCACTGCCATATCCCACCCTTCAAACAGAAACACAGGCATGCAAACACAACTGCTTCACGGTTCGTTTCAACTGCAATATAGTATATCTTATATATGTGTAAGTATATTTGTCATTTATTTATATATATATATATTTTTTTTTGAGAATAATATATTTATTTAAGAAAGATACAGTTGCATAAGGTACAATTTACAATTTATATTCAACGAGGAAATATCTGCATTACCATCAGTCCCCAAACTAGGCTAGACCTGTATCTTGTGGACTAAATTTTGGCCGTGTAATCCCGGCGTAGAGTAGGCCACCCCTTCCTTTCCCATGGGTGTCGTAAGAGGCGACTAAAGAAGGGCGAGGGATGG